GGCCTGAGATGGGAGCATGTGCTTGACCGGCTCATGCGTGATGTCACTGACATCTCATGACACACCAAGGGGGACATGAGCACGTCCGACTTCTCTCACTGAGACAAAAACTAACTGCCGTGTACTCCACAACAACATGATCACACTCTTCTGGTCAAGTTTTTAAATGACATTGAAGTGAGCCAAGTTAGTCATATGTCATATGTAGACACATTTTTAAACTAACTTGGTCCACTTCAAGGTTTAAAAACATATTGCAGAAGTGCTTGATGATGCACGGGTTGTCTATGTGGAGTTGACACTGTTGTGCAGTACACGAAGCAGAAGTTTAAGTTGAGTGAGAGACGGACAGGCGGGCACACTCCCCTCCACCTTGTGGTGCAACGTGACCTCAGACATCAGCGCTTGAAGCACACCACACAGCTCAGTACTCACGCGTGTCCAAATGCTGGTTGGCGTCCCTTCCGCATGTCCTCCGAGTCTGGCGGCTGCGCCTTTGGCCCAGTAATCTGACTAAACTGGTCGGGCAGAAAAACAAAAGTGGAAAGTCACACACTGTAGTCCATAAAAAAAGTTGTTTCTTTTTGAGTCATTATTCCATATAAGTGGCAACTTTTATTTTCAACCGGTCCATTTCCAAAGGTGCCCGCACTCGCAATGCATCTGTTTGAGCGACCGCTCGCGGCTCTCTCCCCACACCGAAAGTACAATGAGCAACCTCGTTTCGAAAAACAAATGAACAAAGTCACGGGTGCATTTGTGGGAATAGTTTTGAAACAAATCTGCCCCCCCCCCTGATGTGAAGCCATCACACTTCCACTGCTGATAGCAGCTTTGGTGTGGAAAACATACAGAATCGTATTCAAGTCAAACGCTGTTCGCGATTGCTTTTTGATTGACAGCTGACGTCGACTTGTCGGCGGCGTGCTCGCTCACTGCCCCCTTTGCTGACGTTGTTTTTTTACGTTGAGTCACAGCAACAAAATTAAAGGAGCAACGTGTCGAAAGAACTCTCCCCAATTGTGTACATCTATACACTCAGAGATAAACTGCGAAGTCAGTTTAAAATGTTAAAATTACTCACTGAGAACAGGGCTTGTGGACAGCGGAAAAACTTGCTCATTGAACCGGATGTGGTACCGTTCTTGGGCTTGTACTTCTTCTTCTTGCTTTAGTTCATATCGCCCCCTACTGTCCGGGAAACCACAAAGGCGTTTGGCAAGCAATCTGAATCTAATTTACAGTATTAGCCAAGCGTGCAAAAACACAAAACACGAAATTAGGGCATATCTTGAAGAACCACAGATTTCAAGGGCAGCTGGTCCACTGAGCTGGTGGAAATACCGAGCTTCCGTCTACCCCCGTTTGATCAAAGTAATGCATTGTAGCAACATCTGTCCCGTCAGAGAGGGTGTTCTCAAAGACTGGACAAATTCAAGTATTCCAAGTTGAAGTATTTAGTTTTGTTGACTGCAAATTTAAAATAAAGCAAGGAGTAGCTTATGTTTGCTTTGTTCACTGCTGCTGTTGCAGTTAATCCTCACTATTTTTGTTATGATGCAGCATGTTTGACTCTTGTTGGTTTAAGTTTAATTTTGTTGCTTGTTTATTGTTTGGAGCCTTTTTAATGTTCAATAAAATAAGTAAAAAGCCATTTCTTTGCTTGATAATTGTTGCTATTTGCAGTCAGTAGAGTACAATATTTAGTTCACCAAGTCATTTTTCAAAATGTATGCTAAATTTGTCATAAATATTTAAAAGAAAAGCTCAAGTTAAAAGAGCCGCTTGAGAGCCAAAAAGAGCCGGCTTCTTTCACCGAGCCGATCCAAATGAACCGGATCACCGAAAATCCCATCACTATAATAGCGCCAAAAAGACGTTAACGTTCGCTGTTGTCCGCGGAGAACAGCGGTTTAAGATGAGAACTACTTTTGTGAGCCCATGTATGGCATTTTGCACGATGCAAGTGAAGGACAAAGTTTGGAAACTGAAGATTTTAGTTTTAATTTACTTTTCCGTGGCCCGCTTCGCTCAGGTGCACAGCGGAAATGTTCAGCATCCAAACGAGCATGTCAAATATACGTTGAAGATGATGGTTGAACAGGCAGGCTGACGGGATGACAGCAGGATTTGGTGCTGGGCCCCCCCCCCCATTTTTATTTTTTTTTTGTAGGTGACCAGCTGATAAGTCACATGACAGCCAAGAGGACGAAAAGCTGGAGGGAAAGCATGCAACTGGTCACTGTTGCTCTATCCCCCCCCCCCCCGCTTGCTATTTTTAGAAGGCTGGGAGGAAAATCGGATAGACCAGCACAGAGTTATTCATTGATCACAGAACGATTGAACCAACACGTGAGGGACATCAAGTGCCCGCAGACTCACAGGGGACACGCCTCTTTTGTTGCCTTCGCAATGCTTGAATGTCTTGCTGGCCTCCGGCCAAGGCTCAAATGTTCATCAATGCGCATTGAGCCAAGCATTGGCTCCCTTGCTGATTTTTGGGGGGGGCATGACATTTTAATTTCAGATCATCACAGCAATTTGAAGGTCTCACAAAGCCGGTGCCTACAATGCAGCCTCGATTTAGTAAAGGGGGCAGGGGGATGCTAATCTTTCAGGGTAAGGGTTTCAAATCCAAGTACAGGTGACAGCCCCTTCCATCCGTCCGTCCAGCTTCCTACTATCCTTGATTCCTCTTTGCCGTCAGCCTTCTCGCCCTCCTCCATTCCTTTCATCTTTTTCCCCAGCTACCGCTCCGATTTCTTCAGCCTTCTGTCCTTTCACACTCGGCTCGTTTGTTGTCGGCCGGCTCCTTGAGCTGCTCCACGGAATTGTAGTGCTCTCCCAGCCCGTAAGCGTGATGCATGTAGCTGCAAAGCCATACATGAAAACAGATGTGAAGGGAGGGGGCGGGGAAAGGGGACGGAGATATTTCTTTGAATAAAGAACTCACATGAGGATGATGGGGTCGCCGGCGTGCTCCTCGCCAATGCTGATGGGCGGTGAATCGGCCTGGATGACTTCAATGGGACACCGCAGGACTCTGCTCAGTGCTTGCAGCTGGTCACAGATAATGAGGGATTCGGACCACAAGATGTACTTAAGCAGGTCTCGACAGCGCCGACCAATATGCTTGCAAATGCTCCCCCCGCCCCCCTTTTTTTCTTCTTCAACGTGTGCTGGTAAGAATTTGTGTGTTTTAATCCTCCTATATAGCTTTGTCGAGTGGTCGGGATGTCAAACGTTAAATATTCAATGAGACGTGATACTCCACAAAGGGTTAAGCGACAAACAACAAATATGTTGATGCCCAAAGACTTCAAGTCCTGAATAGAAATATTGTAACCAGTAGTACAGTATGTACAAAATGTTGATTTTTTTTGGGGGGGGGCGTTCAGTTAAATATTAAATATATATTAAAAATACTAAATTGTTTTTTAAAAAATTGTTAATGAACACATTCTAATTAGTATAGTATTTGTTGAACAAATACAAATACCGGTAAAACAAATTTGCAGTTGTTGAGCTGTCAGCAATTATTTCACTGCTTTTTGCCACAGTCTCATTTTTTTGGGTTTAATTTTAAAGTTATACAAAATCACTGACCCGGTTGGTCCGCTGCTGCTTATTGCAAACAAAGTTTTTGTTCAAATTAAAATAATTTCCAAATATATCTTCGGTCACTTAATGACCAGAAACATAAAAATTCATTAACGCATTTTTTTTTTTTTTTTTTAAACACCAGATTGATTTAATACTTTTGAGTTTAACGTAGTGTTTCAAAAAATAAAAATGTTGCAGCTGCAGTATTAATTGACACAAGCAACTATGAATCCTAGCAAGCTTTTTGCCTGATCGGCAATGAATAAAAAATACCTGACAAATTTGACTCAGACAAAATAATAATAATACATTTGTCAGGTTCAAGACTCACTTCCAGCTGTCCGCCCCATGCCGCCGTGTGCTCCACATCGTTACAGTATTTCTCAAAGCCCTCTGCGAAACAACCCACACATTACGATTTTCAGGATGGATGAAAGTAATTGACGAATCATGTTAACGTGCTGCGCTTTCGGGTACCCGCTGTGTACACGTCGCCCGTGTCGGGGTTGCTGAGGAACGGTAGGAAATCGTCTGCGTGGCCCCGCATGTACGCCGCCGTGCGACACCGCAGCTCCTTCACGCTCAACTCGGACTTTGATAGAACACAACAGAACGCGGGTGTTCTCTCGACTGCAGACGGGTGGAGGCTTGTATTCATCAAGACAGAAAATCATCAGTGTACATTTGTACCTCATCTCGCCGCACCAGCTGGTCCTGGATGGCGCGGTACATGCAGTGGCCATCGGAGGAAATCTCCTTGATCTGAAGCCCGCGCGATGACAGTTTCTCTGCCAGCTTGACGCCCTCGAGGTGGCGCTCGCCCTGCAGGTTTTGCACTTCGGCCTCGGTGATCCTGTTCTCGCGTTCTCGTTCCTGGGCAGCCTTCTTGTTCTGGAAGCACAGCTCAGTAAAGGATACTGGAGCTCCAGTTGTTGTGAGCGCTTGATTTTGGAGCTCACCCTTCTCTTCTGAGCTTTGGTGACACGAGGTTGCACCTCAACCGTCAGCCCCTCCACTCCATTTACTGCCTCCTCCACCTTCAAAAGGAGATCCGTGGTGGATGAAAGTAAATTTAAAGAAGTGGATTAGTGCCGTACCTGTGTGTCAGACGTAGACACGAGTTGCCGCAGCTCCTCCTCATGCTTGTGATCTAGCTCAGCCTCCATCTTGGCGATTTCTTCGGTCATCTGCTTCCGCCTTTTCTTGTCGTTTTTGGGAACGCTGTTTTTCATGCTCTGGATGTTGGCTGTCCAAAAAAAAAAAAAGTTCAGTCAGTTGACTGCAAAGTGAGCATGGAAAATATTGTTTAGGCTGTTAAATACAACATTCTGCCTTTACGAAGTCATGTTCAGTTTGTAATTTGATATTATCATTCGGGTATTAATTTAATAATATGCACTGTTTTTAATCATGTAGCTATGGTGCAGTCTCGTCCTATAAGCACCATACAAAGATTGTTAAATGAACACCTTGTATGGAAACTTTTTTTTTGTCCTTGCCCTCCTGTGGGTTAAGTTCAGGGAATCATGTGAAGCCCGTAGGGAATTTTGATGATTAAGGGCTAAATAACTAATTTTGACTTGACAACACAGAAGATGATCGAAAATTTACCTTGCAGGTCCTTCTTCTCCCTGCGATGCTGCTTTAGTAACAGCTCCTCCGGCGTCTCTACATCGCCTTCGTCCATGATTAACGATTTTGTTTTTAGTAGGCTATACGAAGATCTTCATAAGGTTACATGTTATATGATTTAAATCTTGAAATTAGACCAAATGAGCTTCAAAATATTCATCAAGGCAATGAATAAAACGTGCCGCGCACAGGGGCCTTTTCTTCCGGAGTGTCTTATTCGCTTGTCGTAATAGGGCGAGTGACTATAGTGCCCCTCTGGCCGGATGGTGTAACAAAGGCGCTGCCTTGGTATTCCATTTTGACGAGATTTTTTTTTTAATATACAAAATTTAATATATTTGTTGTTGAACTATAATACATATTTTTTAACAGAGTGTTGCATATTTTACCCTGCATTTTTAAAACCGGACGCTACCGAGCAAACGTAAGTACTGGTGACGTAATAAGGTAATTCATTTTTACGCCACAAAAATAAAAATGAATCACATACCATAAAGTACGTCATTCTGGCTCTCTTTACACACTGTGGTCATCTCTTGGTCAGTAGGGGAAATGCTGTCGGTATCAACTTCCGGGAAGGGACGACTCGTTTTTTTTTACATTTGTGTCTCGGACTATATTCTATTTTCGTTGTAAAAATAAAACTTGAAAATAATCTAGAAAATCAAGCTGTGATTAAATTTGAGGGTTTCCACGTTTAAACCAAAAATCAACTAACCAGTCGCTTTTCTATTTTTAATATCCGCTTCCAAACGTAATATCCAAGGACCAAAAGAGACACAAACCACAAAGGTGGTCAATGATGGTGCTTACTATACAAATTCTTAACTGCGGAACAATTTTGTGACATGATGGAAATCTAACATGATAACTGATTATAAAATACAATTTTAGACAATAAAATAATATTTGGGGTTTTCTTGTGCTATTTAGATTCTTACAGTAGATTCGTGATTGATAACACATGTCATGTTTTTTTTTCTTTTCACGTTTTATTAATAAACGTCCTAATTAAATTAAAAGCATCACTTGGATTTGCTTGCTCAACAACGCTCTCTGGTGGCCATTCAGCACATGGCGTTTGCGTAAACTGGTTTGTTTTACCGACAAAGACAGCTTTTTTTGCGGTTTTTGGATAAGCACATGAGTGCGCAGCCACAGACACGACATAGAAATTAATATGCATGTTTTCGTGCGCACAAATTATTTTTACATTTTTGTTCCATTTCAGGTGGACAAATTAGTATCTCAAGTGCAGAAATTGGTATGTGTTGTATTTTAAGAGTATTTGTGAGAACACCTTTTGCACCCCAAGTGGTATTTTGTGCGTAAGAATGGATACATTTTGTATTCTTGGTGTATTTTGTACACACAAACTTGCATTTTTGTCATATTTGTGCACACAAATTAGTATTTTCTGCATCCAAACTAGTATTTCTTTGTATTTGTGCACATGTATCAGTATTTGTCGAACACAAATTGATTATTTGAGGACATACATTTCTATTTTTTGCGGTTTTGTAGTATTTTCTTTGCACAAATTCACATTTTTTTAGATACTCATTTGGCCATATTTGTACTTTTTGTAGCATGTGTATATGAATTAGCTTCTCACATGCACAAATTAGTATTACATGGACATTAATTTGTATTGACTTGTATTTTTGTAGTATTTTGTGCACACAAGATAGGATTTCATCCGCTCAAGTTAGTAATTTATGAGCACAATTTTTTTGGGGGGGGGTGATTTTGTAGCATAATTATTTAGTGCGCACAAATTATTTTTGGCGTACACGAATAAGTATTTTTTTCATATTTCCTGGCCAGAAATTATTTTGTGCTCACAAAATCAGATCATATCAATCTGTATTTTTATTTATTTCTTTTTTCAGATTTGTGTGCATAACTAGTCCTTTGTTCATACAAATTATTATTTCATAAGCACTAATTGCATCGCATTGTTTGTATTTTTGTACAAGGAGTATTCTGTCCATATAAATTAGTGTTTGGCTGCTGACCAGTTCATTTTTGTAGCATTTTGTGCGCATAAATAACTAGTTTTTGTATTTTTGTGGTGTTTTGTGCACAGAAATCAGTGTTTTTCATGTAAAAATTAGCATTTCACATGCAAGAATGAGTATATTTTTCCTCCCATGTCATGTATGGGTTTCTGCACGAGTGACACAGCACTCCAATGACCAACAAAAGCGTCAAATAGCGTAGGCACGTGCGGGTGTTTTTCAACATCTTGCAGAGACTCTCTACAAAACAGCACTTCTGGTTTCTTTTGAAGAAAAAAAACAATCAAAGTCAATTGATGCACTCTGAAACGGGAACGCGTGTGTACAGAGAAGAAGTGAAGCCGATTGTAGCGCTGTGACACAGTGATCCGCTCCCTGAGCGCCAACTTTGCTTTGGCATGCAAGGGGAGGGGGAACAAGTGGTGGGAGGGGCACAAAGATGGCAGCATCCCGAACTCTTCTGGGGGGTGCGTTGCAGCGCTTTCGGAAACATCGACTCCGAATGAGCCCTGGAGCTGGGCCGACTACGTCGTTTCAGCGGCGGAGCTCCGGGTGGCGTTCATGTCTCGTCGCACGCATTGCAGGACTCATCATCGTCGTCACCGCCACCGATGGACTGCATGTCCTTGCTCAAAGCGCCGGTCTTCTTGGAGGTCTTGCACTTGGAGTCGCGACCGGCGTGCTGGGAAATTCATGGAAAAGAGAGTTCAGAACATTGCACCCAGAGATTACCTATTAAAATGATATGTAAAAGTTTGAACATTAATTCAGTCTTAAGTTTCTCCGTAGTCCACGAAGAAAATGCAGACAAAATGCCTATTCCTGAAAGTGAAAAAAATATTAATATTTAATAAGTTAGAACACTGTGTGGGAATTCTTGGTACTGCTCTAAACTTCAAATCCTGCCAAGAGGACAGGACGTACTTTGTTGAAACTGTTTGGGGTGTCTTTGACCAAAAACCTAACCTGTGGAGTGCCCCAAGGGTCAATCTTGGTACTCATATAGTTCAATCTGCTTTTGTTAGGCCAGCTAATTAATGTGCAGCCTTTAGATGACAGCATTTTACACCGATATGAAATTGCATCTGCTTAAATTGTAATTAAACTAAAATTCATTACATTTCATTATACTTTCTTTTATTTTAAGCCAATCAGTCATTCAACTGATTGGCTGATAACAAAAAAACACCTTATTTCTGCTGCTCTTTTTCTGTTATTGTTGCCTTAAGGCACAACTGCAGTATAATCAGAGCCATAGGCTAAATTAGCCCTTGGCAAAGAAAATCATGTTTTGTTCTGGTGTGCAAATGGAATGCGGCGTAACCGAAAGTCTTTCATCACTGAACGAGCCCCTGGGTCTCCTATGATGGTTGCAGGCTGCGCTGGTGGTGTTGGTGAGGGTCTGCTTGCCGCACTGCGTGCCCGTGGTCACCATCCTCTTCTCACGCAGGCCCGCCTCGAACGCCTTACCTGTCGAGAACAATTAGATGCCAGATCAACAGAAGAAAAACTTTCTTTCACCGTTTGCCGGCCTCGTGCAAATCACCGCTCGCTACACTTGCAAAATTTCTCTCATAAGACATTTGAATTGGTTGAAAAAAAATCAAAACATTTCAAATATTTCTTGCTTACTCACTGCTTTCCTGTCTCATAAACACCTTCTTGATCCACTTGCGAAGTGACTTGAACAAAGGATTTCATCCCAGAAAAAATAAAAATAATATAATAAAATAACATCAAAAATAAATACATACACAGTAAATTGTGTACTTTTTCACCAGAGGTTGAGAGTTCGAACCCCAGCCATTTCAATCTGCTTGTCCTTGAGTACCATATTGAACCCCCCCGCCCCACTTGCTCCTGATGCTGTGCCATCAGTAGGTAAATGAGAAAAACTGTGTAAAGCGCTTTGAGTACCAAAGGTAGACAAGTGCTTTCTAAGTAACAGCACATTTACCGTTTACTTGGCACACTCGCTACTCTAAATGAATGATTTAATTGGATGAAAGCCTAAAAAAAATGTGAATGGTGTAAAGGTCCTCTCTTCTCACCTTTTGCCTGCATGGTACTCACTTGTCCTCAAAAACTCTTCATACTGTGAACGGCAAACACAGTGAAAGGGCCCTATGCGACCCTTGTGCCTAAGGTTGCACACCACTGCTTTCCGCAAGATTTTAGTAGCGGCCAAAAAAGAAAAGAAAAAACGCGGGTTGGGTCTGGGTGTGGGGGCGTCGTTCTTACTGTTGCCGACCGGCAGTGGAGCCTCCACATCGGTGTTGGTGAGCCACGTCGACTCGGTGTCCCTGGTCCAGCTCTCGTGGTACCTCGGCTCGATGATCGCGGAGAGTAGCGCCCGACCCGTCTGACCACACGACGTGCGTCATCCGAACGAAGGAGGGATCGAGAGACAGGGGCGGGGTCGAGTCTACCTGGCGACGCTGATTGGCCGAGTGCTCGGCTCGTCAATGTCGTCGCCGTCGTCATCGTAAGAGTTTTCTGGACAGAACATTAGGAACACTTGACAAAGTGAGACGTCGAACGCGGGGATGGGCGCATTGGTTATGATTTGGCCAAACGATTAGGCACACCCTGGCCGAGTGCTCGGCTCGTCAATGTCGTCGCCGTCATAAGAGTTTTCTGGACAGAACGTTAGGAACACTTGACAAAGTGAGATGTCGAACGCGGGGATGGGCGCAGTGGTTATGTTTTGGCCAAACGATTAGGCACACCTGCGACGACGATATTCCTCCGGTCAAATTGTTCGGCACACCCTTAAAAGATATATATATCACGTTCTGCACATATTAGCAACAGCCCCTAAAAAGCTCATGCTAAGGCCATTTTATTAGGTACACCCTACAATGACAATGCTTAGGTCAAATGATTAAGTACATCCTTCAAGATCCTATGGCCAGATTTATTAAATACAGTACACTTAAACAGGTGAGATATATAGATAAATATAAAAGAATCAATTCATAAGATTAAAATACAGATTCCAACGAATTCCTCATTAATTATTGACTCCAATAAAAACTTACCCATTCATGTGCTTCTTTGGTAGTATTTGTGTTTGCTTGCATGATTGTTGATTTTCATCTTGCAAATGTTTTTTAAAAAAAAATTGAGCAGTCAATTTGCCTTTCACGACAATCATTGTTTTCACATTTATTATTTGCTTTCTTTTTAAATATGTTTACATCGGGGCAGCATTACAGTAGCGGGCAAAGGATCAATATTACAGATTTAACAGGAGCGCACAGTCAGCAAATAGAGTGCATCTTTAACGTGGGGGATGATCAACATCGAACTGGAAACAAACACGCTAAGAACTCACATCACTGTCAAATAAAATCTTCACTGACTGTTTAGAGACTTAAAATAAATAATATATTTATCATATACATCTCCATTTGTGTACCAGTCGGACGACACTTGTGACAATAGAAATGAAGGATTATCAATGCCTTTGGATAGCAGGTGGGGATGTCCAGCCACCCCTTTCATCACTTTGAATTGATCCTCCTTGACTTTTGAAAGCGGAATGGAACGGGAACAAAAATTGAGATTAAGACGAGGGGAGGGGGGGCAGGGGAAAAACAGGGGGGAATGTAAAACCGTCGCGACGACAACGGCGCGTCTAAACTTTGAAGTCGAGCAGGTTGCAGTCGATCTTGTAGTAAACGTACGGGTAGTACTCCTGCTGGCTCAGGTTCAGACCGGGGATGTCCATGGAGGCCTGTGAGGGACAAAAAAAATCAAATCAAACTGTGAGCCCTGAAACTCACCCAAAATGGCTGACTTCCTGTTCAATTTTGACCATGAGTCCGGAAGACTTTTTTATGTGTGTTTCCTGTCTTGATGGACATTGTCACAAAATTTCGTATTGATTTGTGGAACTGGTATCTAAGGCCGATTTTTTTTCCCCTAACTTTGCAAATTTGGAATGAAATCAAACTAACTCGCAAAATGTGCGTTTCTGAACAAAATGGCAGACTTCTTGTTCAATTCCAAACGACGTTTTGACGCCGGCTGTCGGCATGGCGACGCAAGCGCGCGCTTTGGAAAAGAAGGGGACGGACGGTTTGGTGAAAGGTGAGTCAAGTTTGCGCAGTGTTCATCGATGCCGTTGTTCGGCTCACGTCGATGATGGCGGCGCTGCTGTCCAGGTGCTTGTACAGGTCGTACAGAACCTCCCGCAACTTCTTCATGTTCTTCTTGTTGGGCTGCAGCAGCATGGCCTGGAAGTTCACCGGAAGCCCGTACCTGTGCACAACAAAAACATTTCCATTTTTTTTTTTTTTTTTAAGCGTGTGTGTGTGTGTGTGTGTGTGTGTTGTTCATTCATGGTGTTGTTGGTCTATATTAACCCTTTCATACACCCTGTAACTTGATAACATGATAAGCTGTCCACTGTAGTAACCGTTGTCCGTGAATGGGTTAAAATGACTGTTCTGGATGCAAAGTTTCAAAGATAGCCAGTCAATATAAAAAAAGTGGATATTTTTCTATGGCTCACCTCAGGACCGACTCCACAAAGACACGCAGCGCTTTGATGTGGATCCACGCGATGAAGGCTTCACTGAAGTTGACTTTGAGCCACCGCACCAGAGGACCCTAAAATGGACCACAACGGGAACGTTGAAGGACGAAAACGAGTGTGCGCGTGCGTGAGTGCGGACAACATACAAACTGCTTCTTTTTGTCGGTGGACAAGCGCGTCATCTCCTCCTTGTCGGCCTTCATCTCTTCCTCGTTGTACTGAAAGTCACGCACCGTGAACCTGAACACAACAATGCACGTTCACATCATTTCCTCGGGCATTTTTGCGACCTGGTTGGAAAATTTACGGCGAATCCCTGGAAAGTAGACTCGAAATTTCCATGGCAAGTTAAAGTGGGGAAATTTGAAAATATTCAGAATTGGAAACTTTCTATGGGAATTATGGAGATAAAGGAAAAAAAAAAACGTATCACATTCAAGACAAAATGTCAACATTTTGCTTTGTCACTGACAGACACTTGTGAGAAATCGATAGCTCTCCTTTCCCACAACTAAGTAAATGACCGTACCTTCATTGATGAGTCGATTTTGCACGCTTACTTGTTTTCCCTGGCCTTGTGCTTGAAGTCATCCACAGCCTTCCGGAAGAGCGTGACGCTGAACAGGCCACTGTCGTTGTCCTCAAACAGCAACCTGCAGAGAGACGAGGCTGGTTAGCATGGCAAGCTAATGCAGGAGTCGACGTCTTCGCTCTTCACGCTGATCGCGAGGAGCGCTCGACAATGAAACGTGTCTGAACGGGTGGAGTGTCTACTTAGTGGAACGCGGCACCACCATCTCCGCCAGGGTTTCGTACGTCTTCTGCCAGTCTACGAAGCTTGTCCTGATTCCGGCACAAAAAAAGATTATTTGAGATATGCCTGTTTTGGATTTCCCGTACAATTTAAACTCAGTTCTATCCAATTTCGAACACATGCAACCTACTTGGGAACAACCACCAGCATGGTGACCAGGTACTCCGAGTCTAGCACAAAGTCATCTTTCTTCACAATGTCGGCCAGACTCCTGGTTAGCAGGCTCCCCCTGGTGGAAGTCAAAAGCGCTTTACGGTTTAGCTGCAACATTCGCAAAAGGCAAACAAACTAACGGAAGAAACACTCACGCGTTCTTCCGCTCTAGGTTCTGCAGGTTCCCCTTCAGGTTGTTATAGGCCAATGCTCGGGCCTTCAGGTCGTTGTCAATCTGCGTCGCTTGCTGGAAAGTCACAAAGAATAGAAACTGATGAAATGCCAACAATCCATACTTATCAATAAAATTATACATCATAGAAGTTAAAGAATTAAACCGTTTTCTGGTGTGTAGGACTTTGGCCACCAGGGGGGAGTATAACAGAGACATACAGAACTGACTCAGTAGGCCACAGTAATGTCAGTCCTTCTTCACAGAGGATAAAGAAGAGATGCCAATGAGCAACTAAGGCAAAGCATCCAAATTCGCCAACCCACCTTGGAGACGATCTCGGAGATGTTCTTCAGCGACTGTTTAATGGGATACTTGGCCATGTCCCACTGGAATCTGGTGATGTATGTGACCAGGTCCACTGTCCAATGACAACAAGACACCATCGGCGCGTGCTTTGAGGAGAAGAAGAAGAAGAAGAAGGGACAAGGGGAGCAATGTCTTACGTCCATTGGCCAGCAGGTTCTCCTGAACTTTGTCCCGGCTGTCCTCCAGAACGTCAGCCATGTACTGAGCCACCTTCTTCACCACACTGCATTCACACAAACAAACAAATAAATAAATTAATAGCCAGTCCACGTTCCTCCCACATTCCAAAAACATGGACGGTAGTTTAATAGATCACTCAAAATTGTCTTTTGGTGTGACGGGTGGATGGTGGATAGTGGTCCTTCACTACATTTTTTTTTGGTCACCTTTCCACAAACGTATCCAGCTTGGCCAGCTCGTCGGACAGACCCACCAGGACATCCAGCGTGCCCACCTGTCGCAGATACCAAAATCAGTACTTCAGCTTGACAAATGCCACCTCTGCTGTGGTAAAGACAGCAACACATAGTGGCAGGAACAAGCCCGGTGCTGTGTGATGTTGTTGACTGCTATGTTAGCTTGTCTCTGTTAGCCACTGTGATTTTGTTTTGAGATCAATTTGTTCACCTTGAGGTCGGGAATGTTGAACTTGGTGTTGGTGGAGAGGTTGTTGGTGCGCGTGGTGGCCACCATCAGCTTGTCCCATGTCTGCTGACACGTCTTCTCACCTGGCGCAGAGATCAACCAGAATTCCGTCATGGCGGCTGCTGTTGGGCTTCCAGGAGAGTTCAACTAATGTAGGAGGAGCACTGCAGTGGTTGGGAAAAAATATATAAAAATAGACATGACATTTTTTCTACAGAGTACCTAAAGTCACATTGGGGGGAAAAAAAGTTTCTCATCCTAACGAGACATTCTTTTTCTGCTGCTAACTCTTCTTCAATGCCCCTGTAGCTGCCGAAAAAGAGAAGAAGAAGATCTTCATGTCAAGGCAAAACAAGTGATTAGAGTCGTATTTTGTTTCCCAACTCGTGTTTGCTAAACACAACAATAGGAGCAGACTTACACTCTTTCCTCAAAACTACTTTCTCGTTCTAATGAGAAAGCTTCTTGTTTGGATGGGAAAGTTTCTTCTAATGAGGAACATGTTTTTTTTTTGTGTCACTTAAGGGGCTGCGGACTTTACTTAGTCCTGCTCTACAGGGATTTTCAAAGTATTTAAAAATGTATTTTTATTACATTTACTTACTGGCCACAATATTAGGAATAAGAGCTGATGCATAAGAGCTGCACATCAATGCAAACTCCTACCACAACAATGTCAACCCAAAAGTAAGCATGTGCAAAGGCAGCTAGCTTTTAGTTCGTTATCGGATGGCAACAGATTGTGTAACTAATGTGTCCTCTTGTGAGCAATTTTAAATCCTCATGACATGACTTTGTTCCTCTTTTCACGACTGCGAATGTTTCTCGCATTGCATTCAGCCTCTGCAGCATGGCGATGACGTCAGAAGAGTTGCTGTCACATGACCGTCATACGCAGAAGAGGATACTAAACATTTCCTCGACACATTTACGACACAAAAATAGCCAGAAACAAACATTATCTAAAATGGTACATGACCAATATGTGCGAGTTACTATTAGCATTTAGCCATGTCACGACATTCGTCAATTGTTTCGTCGCCGTCCTTACCGAAACACAGTCTTCACCGTTCGCTTGACTCGGTGGGTTTCAGTCAGACAGTCGCAGATTCCCATTCATATCACTAAATCTTAATAAATATTACTGCTAATAATAGTGTCGTGGCGACCCAGAGGTCCTTCAATTCAGCCTAGCTAGCATCTCCGGTCAGCTGATTAGCAGAGACGGTGAGGGTGTGCGCGCACGCATGCGCATTGCGCAAACGTCACCATGCTGCCTTCAATGACCAAAAAAGTTTCGTGAATTTAAAGGCCTTCTTAAAGAGAGTAAATATTACGCATTTCGGTACAGTATTATGCATAATTTTGCCATTTGAATACCATACTTTCCTTTTAAAAAGGAATTCGTGATTTGTAACGTTGACGTATGAGCAACTGAATGTAAAATAGATTTTTTTTAAATTATCGATAGTCTTGAAAAGCAATTCATTCGTAGAGTATTGGTTTTGAGTGACATCAACTTTGACTCAAGAGTGACGCCCCTGGTGTTATTAAAGCATTGCAACAGAGTACGCTTCTGTCAACTTGCCCTCAAGGACCGAAAAGATTTGATGACCTCAAGCAGAGGGAAATGGCCAAATGAAAACAAAGAAGTGATGCATTGTCAGTAGTTCAAGAAACAATAGTCATTTACGATTAATGAGCTAGTACAGTGAGATTACAAATTTATTTTTTTGAGTCTTGAAATCGTTTGTACTAATTTCGACAGCAGATGCTACCCCTATAATTAGATAATGTTGTAAAACAAATTAAAATATTTAGATTTAAAAAAAAATAAATAAATTGGGGCAGCCCAGTGGTTAGCGTGTCGACCTCACAGTGAAAAGGTACCGGGTTCAATTCCAGCTGCGGCCTCCCTGTGTGGAGTTTGCATGTTCTCCCCGGTCCTGTGTGGGTTTTCTCCGGGTACTCCGGTTTCCTCCCACATTCTAAAAACATGCATGGCAGGCTGATTGAACACTCTAAATTGTCTTCCAGTGTGAGTGTGAGCACGGATGTTTATTCGTCTCTGTGTGCCCTGTGATGGGCTGGCAACCGGTTCTGGGTGTCCCCCGCCTACTGCCCGAAGACAGCTGGGTAGCCTCCAGCACCCCCGCCCCACCCACCCTTGTGCGGATAAAGCGGACCAGAAAATGGATGGATGAATGGACATTTTAAATTATGACTAACAAATTAAATGATCTATATAACTTTAAAACAGTAGTACAACTAAAGCTATAGAGCACAGGTGTCAAACTCCGATGCTCAAAGGCCACTATCCTGCATGTTTTTGATGTTTCCCTCCTCCAACACACCCGATTCAATTGATCAGGGTCGTTATCAGGCTCCTGAAGTGTTTCCTGAGAAGCTGATTATTTGAGGCAGGTGTGTGCAAGGAGGGAAACACATAAAACATACAGGTTAGTGGCCCGAGAGACCTCGAGTTTCACACATGTGATAAATACAGTATAACCAAACAGGATATGAAAGCACTTTTATTTTGGAACAACACCGTTGTGGAAAGACTGAGGAGAGAAGAGAAGGAGGGGTTGAGGTTTTACTCTGGGAAATGCCCCCCCGCCCACCAAATACAGTCAAATTTTTAAAAAAATGCTGTCAGGAGGAGAGAACAGAAGATAAGCATACCGTGATACACTGTAGTGTGTAAATGCGCAAGTACGTGGCAACCCAAACTAAACGTGAGTTTATTTTTATGAAGTAGTCACCTGTACACTATTACACACTTTCAACACCTTTTAAAAAAAATATTAAATATACAGAAGGGAAATTAGGTCCGGAAGCCCGTGGAAAAATAAATTGCAACAACTCAAAAGCGGGAGCGGGTGGGGGGGGATTAACTCAGTTGTGTGTTAGCATATAAGCGAAAAATAAAATTCTGTACATTTATGTAACAAAAAGTGGGCGTGGAAAGCAGAACGGGTGGAGGGGCTGGATAGGTCAAGACGTGCTTTTCAGTCACCTCACCATGGGAAGAAATGGCAACATCTAGTGGACAAGAAAAGTACTACAACCACGCGACGGCGTAATGTCGCCGTTACCCTGTTACAATTAAAATTACAGTGAACCCCGAATTTTAGTGGGATTTTTTTTTTAAACCTACCCATCAGTTGCTGAAAAACAGTTTTTCTGCTCCCATAAAAAAAATAATCGTATGCCATCAGTTTATGTGAGTAGCTCCATTTAAACTGAAATAGGGCTTTGCTACTACTTATAGGTATTGACAGAACAGTGTTTTTTTTTTGGGGGGGCGGGGGCATAATTTGCTTATAAATTTTCACAATTTAAGGTTCGGAGGGGGAAGTTCACTGGACCCGAGATTAATTATTCTAGGGGCCACCAAATTATTTGGTGGCCCCTAGAAGATATAATGTGCGCACAAAGTGCTCATTTGTGGCTACAAAGTAGGGAAATATGAACATAAATTAGAAAGACTACTAGAATATTCTGTAACCTGTCCTCCGTTTTTGGTTGAAAAACTTGCCTTTTCCGTCTTTGTGCTGTGAATGATGTGCACCAATATGCCACAAGATTGCGGCAAGGTCCCGTGCAATTTAAAAGTAATGCTTTGCGACTATTTTGTGACATCCACGGGTCCTTTTCAAAAAATGTGCATATTGTGATAAAGTTCATTATTTTCCATAATACTTTACAGAAAATAATGAACTTTATTACAAAATGCACATTTTTTGAGAAGGACTTGTATAGGCAAACCATCAACCATTACACAGTGTACACTGTTAGGTTACTCCTGGATTTTTTTGCTACTCATGGGAGAGTTTGGAAATTTTGAACAAATCCTATGTCATGTCTGGGGCTTTCAAAGTATCCTTCTCATGTCAATTATTTTGCTCCATAGGCACCTCAGCAGCTGTTTTGTCAATCCCGCTTTCATCCATCGGTTCCGGTTCAAGTGCCGCCTCGGCGGCATCGGCCGGCTGCGTCGTGGCGTCCTCCGTTAACTCCGGCAGCTCGTCTAACTGAATCTCCCTTGTCTCGACGACCCTCTGCTCGGGAATGTCGAGCGGGTGCTGCAGCCGCGCCAGTCGGGCCATGTCGAAGCCCAAGAGCACGGTGGCCGTGCTTCCGCTGAAGCTCTTCATGCAGCGGATGCGCTTCTTGCTGAAGAGCGCCACCAGCTCCGACTTGCTGAGCGACAGGCGGCGGCACAGCTCTTCTGTCTCGATGCGGTTAAGGTACGGCCGGAGGTTGAAGTAGCGGGCGATGAAGTCACGCCGCTCCTCGTACCCGCGGCGGTCCTGCGGCAGCGGCTCCAGCGCCAGCTTGACTTTGGGGTCCGCTTCCATTTCGGGTTCCGGCGGTTCCTTCCGGCGCACGGACGCTCTCTGTTCGCGCTCCCGCTTGTTGATCTCGATGACCTGCTTCAAGGCGGCCTCCAGCCTCTTGGTGGATTCGAGCTGATCTTTGTTCTGCGGCGGTGGCTTCGGTTGCAGCGGTTTCACCGTCACGGTTTGGGGCACCTGGAGGAAGTAGAGGCCCGAGGGCTGGCGAGGCGCCTGAGGGGCTTTGGTCACCAGTTGAGGCGGCGGGGCTGTGATTTTGGGAACCTGCGGTGGCTTCGGGGAACAGCGGCATCTTTGGATGTGCAGCATGACGGCCTGCTGGGTCACCTTGCCCGTGTAGACCCCGTTGCAGTAGATACATTTGAAGGCATCGGTTTTGAGGATGGCGTGGATGGTGGGAGCCACCAAATGTTTCTGCTTCAGGTGCTGCAGGTATTTGGACTCCGCCTGGAACTTCTCATTGCAGAAGGGGCAGCAGGAGGCATTGACTTTGACGGGCGCCGTGCAGACTTCGGACCGACTGCTCGGCAGCAGCTTGACGTAGATGAGCTCCAGAGAGCTGGTGACCAGAGCCAGGTTGACTTCGCACTCCCCGAGGATTTCCTGCGGCGCCTCGGTGGTGACGTCAAAGTATGGTATCAGGAGGCCGGCGTTGCTCTTAGTGTAGATCTTGTAGTTCTGGCGAAGGAAGTCGCAGTAAAGCTTGCCGGTGGGGTTGTGTTTCTTGACGTGCTCGGCCAGCTGCTTGACTGAGAAGAATAAGGTGGAGCAGTAGAGACAGCTGAGGCCGTGGAGCAGGTGCTGCAGGACGCTCCTTTCGGACAGCAGCACCTTGCACGTCAGACACTTGATGGTCTTGTCGGGCATCTTCTTGAGGAATGCCGCTCGGCTCGCCAGGCTCTCCGTGCGGGCCGTGGCCAACTTGGTCTGGTGGGCGACCTCAATGTGCATGTCGAAGACGTTGCTAGGGAAGAGTTCGTTACAGAGAGGGCAGGTGATCCACTTCTTGGCCTGGTTGCTGGTCTGTTCAGTGGGCTTGGTGGAACTCTGCGTGACGGGCACCGCCACCTGGAGCGGCGCGAAGGTGTACGTGGGCATGCCGTTGACGCGGTTGCCGGTGGGGATGAGGTGGCTCAGCAGCGACTGGGAGGTTAGCATAGTGCCTTGGAGAGTCACCTGGTTGGCCGGTGGCACCTGCGCGACAGCAGGTTTAGGTGCCGGGACCAGGACCTGTTGCGCTTGAGGCGAGGCCACTACCGCCGGGGTCGGCGGCTTCACGCTAGGATATTGCACAACCGAGGATCCCCGGAGGGAGATGGTGGCACCGGGCTGGAGTAAACCCTTCGCCTCGGCGCTCGCCAGTTGCACCAATGCCGACGCCTGTGGGGGCAGGAAAGCCTGGTTGCTCCCAGGAGCGCAGATCAGGGTGGCACTGTTGGACGCCCCTTGGAGCTGCTGTAAGGCCACCACAGTGCCGCTGCCGGGCTGCCCGTTGCTGGGCACCACAAAGGGCTTGCTGTTCATCGGCTTGGGCGCCAGGTTGGGTAACGTGACATAGAGACCGTTGCCGTTAGCTGTGGAGATGGCCCGGGGGACAGCAGCGGGACCCGCCTTGTTGTCATAGATCATCGCCTGCACCTGTGAGTAGGGTTGCAAAAGGGTGAACATGAAATATATTTCCCCCCAATAGCCCTTTCATGCACCCTATAACCTAATAACATGATAAACTGTCCACTGTTGTAACCGCTGTCCCTGAAGTGGTTAAGCCTTTCAGGGACAGTGGTTAGTCCAGTGGACAGCTTTCAGGGACAGTGGTTAGTACTACTAACCACTGTCTTAGGTTTAGGCTTAACCCCTTCAGGGACAGCGGTTACAACAGTGGACAGCTTATCATGTTATTAGGTTACAGGCTGCATGAAAGGGTTAACCAGGATTGTTGAGAAAGTGATTTTAATAAAATCAGCAAACTCTTTAACTCAAACTGACTTGATAAATTCTAATCAGGTTTCTGACCTCATCACAGTAGAGAGAGAAACAGCTCTTGTTAAAGTAATAAATAACATAAGATTGAACACTGTTCAATTAACATACTGTGTCACTGCCTCAAGCCAATTAACAACTGTATGAGGTAAAAATTAAGTTTCCTCTGGAAAAAACAACTTTCAAGGTTATAAATTACTGGATTCATTCCTGTTCATTTCCAATAGTTTCTCGGACTGTCCAAGTTTGAAAATTCCCAGACTATTGCAACCCTACCTGCGTGCTGATGCTGTAGTGCTTGGGGTCCACCAGCAAGTGGTGCAGCATCTGGTCCAGGTTGCCTGTGTTGACGGTGCACGCTTTACAGCAGTAAAGCTTGGCGTTGGAACCCGCTATCGGATGCCGGTACCCAATGTATTGTTCAGCCACACCCTCCATGTGCTTGAGGATGATATGCTTCTTGATGGCGAAGACAGACTGTGACGGGTAGGAGCACTTCCTGCACTTGTAGCGCTCAATGGCTCGGTGAATTGCGCCACCCGCCACTGCCGTCGTCGTCGTCGTCGTAGTGGTCGCCACGCTAGACGGTGCCACCGGCACCGCCGAATCGGTTGCACGCCCGCTGTGGAAGAGTAGGATGTGCTTCTTGACGGCGCGCGGGTGGGCCACGAAAATACACCGTTGGCAGGAGGTGAGCGAGCACAGGCGCTGTAGGTACTCGTGGCAGCGCGCCACATGATTGCGGTAGTGGTAGATGTTCTTGGACGAGTACTTGCACATGATGCAGCACATGGTGCGAGAGCGGTAAGGCCACTGTGGAGACACAGGGACAAGGCGGTTAGCTGTGGGGGAACCCTAACGTTAAAATCTGTGCGACAAAGCCAGTGAGGCTCTGAGACTTGGACTTTTTCCCAATTAATATGGTAAAGACCTCAAGAGCTTCAAGAAGCTTCATTAGCCAATCTCTAGCTTTCGTCGTTAGCTAAAGTCACCTTCTTACGTAGTCGTCCGTTGTATCCGTCAGTGAAGTCGGTCCACTCAGTCCCCAGCAAAGGATCCTCTTCCTCTGAGTCTTCCTCAATCTTTTTACCATCCAGCTCCTAAACCAGATGAACCACGAAGAGTGAACGTCATTATTATTTTAAGTTGAGCTATAAATGAGTACCTCAAGAAATTTCTGGCAGTCCTCCAGGCCGATTTCACTCAACACGTTCTTCACCGCCTTGCGCGCCTTGCGGACCTTCTCCAAGTTGTTCACCGGGAGCTGATACATTGTTGTTCACGTCCTTCAGAGAAAATTACATGGTTAATGCCATTCCTTTGGCGCACATTTCTTGGACCAATGAAAAAAAGCATTGTCACGCTAACTTGTAGCATGACATATATATTTATGTTCGTGTTTCATCCTTGACCATCGACGTCCCCTTTTTGACTGCTTTTAGACCATGAGAACGAGTCAGAGCTCAGTTATTGGAGGAAAGTATGGAATCTTGTTATCCTAGTTGAGGCTCATGTTAGCTTGATAAAGGATTGATGAAACGGATTGGGAATTGGAGAGTGAATTTGTCTGTGCAAGAGGCAAGACACTCACATGACCTCATGACGTTTGACTTAAATTTGAAATTAAATCCAAATTTAAAACAATAAAATCATACTGAAATAAAAAGGTTTAAGTGTTAAATAAACAAAGGAAATTGTGAATATTTTACAAAAAAGTAAGAACAGAAAAAAAATAAGACTTCCACACAATCCTATAGTATGCCAGGTTTGCAAATCGTTTGCTTAAAACCATATGCATCAGTCATTTTTAATTGCCCCCCCCCACCCCCAAATAAATACATACATACATACATACATGCATACATACATACATACAAATAAAAAATGCTTCCCCCCAAAACAAAAAACAACAATAAATATTTAAGTCCTGGTAATCCCCCAAAAGTGAATTAAGGTAACTGGGTACTTGCTTGTTTAATTTGTGCAGGTTTTTTCTTGTTTTGTGAAAGCATTCCAAAATGACTTGTGGCATGATTGCCCCCTAGTGTATATGAGCGGCGTAGCTAATGACATCTCGGCCATCTGACTGGACGGACGACGCTTGCTCAGTGCTCGAATCTTCCAGCAGCCATCATCCTCAATTAATGAATATAATTTCGATCACTGTCGAATGAATAATAATTTATTATTTAAAATTTAAACGGAATACTATTAAGATAATCGAATTGTGCCAAGTCAAGTGACATGAAATATGAATTAACTTGAAATGCGTGGAACGAGTGGAGACTGGGCACCAATAAGTGTAAACAAGGCAAGCGTGCGCGCCCGACTGATTGGGCGCCGCGGTGACAGCATCACGCCGGGTCAGAGGAGCCTCCTCCCCGCCCCCTGACGACAGAAACCCCGCCGGCGAACGCCTACCTGCTCCGGGCTCCGAGGTAGGGTTCGGCTATGCTCGCACTGCGTTCACCCCACTTCCTCCACTCGTCCCCCAGCGACAACACTCGCCCGCCCGCAGAGTTCTCTCCGTCTTCCTCCGCCGTCGCACTCAGCGGAAGCGCATCCCGTGCGTCTGTGCGGCCGCTTAGGGGCTTTTAAAACACGTCGTTACTCGTTAGTGAACCGAGGACAAGGACATTGGCAATTTTTTGCAGGGCTTTTTGTCCCCTTTCTTTGCCGTGACGGAAAAAATGGCGCTGAAGTTCAGGATGTGACGTACGGCTGTGTTATTTGCATACCACACAAACTGACCAATGGGCGACCTCCTAGCTTTTTGGCTAAGTAACTTTTTACTAGCCTGCTAATGAGTAACTACTGAATTTCCAAGAGTTCGAGTTAACAATTTTTTAATAAACTTTTAGACTTTTTGGGATTTCCTAATTGGTTTTGTGAGTTGAAATGTTAGCTCGATCTAGGGGGCGTGGCTACGGGGGCTGTCTAGCGTGATCACGTGGTACACAGCTGAGCTCGGCCAATGGGAGGTCGGGAAAGTGAGCTAAATGGGCGGTGCCCTTTTTGGGGTGACGTCATATCATGCCACTTTCAATAGCCAATCCCAAACAAGGCCCCCCATTTCGCAAATTAGAGCAAAGTAGGGAAAAGCCTGATTAAACTAGCTCAGCCAAAAATTGGGGAAAGCTATTATCGATGAAAATTTTAAAGATGTTTTCATATATAAAAAATATTTTTAGAAATATTGCATATTAACATTACGGTAAATCACAGCACTTTCAAAAATTACGTTTTTTACACAACCCGGCAATGTCTTTGTGACAAAAACCTCAAAACATTTTTCAACAAAAATCAACTCGCACATTGACACAAACCTCACAACTTTGTAGGTTATACATAACTCATTTCCAACATCATCGTTTGACCGGAATTTCTATTGCAACATCCTGTTCTGTAAAATAAACTTTTTTTTTTTAAACAAAATGTAAACGTTTGCACATAGATAAACTCAACACTTACAATTTACAATGTTCACGGATTAGGCATAGCAAAATCTTTCAACGTAACCTCACAAAGCTCACGTCTTCCAATATAAGAACTTTTACCGTGATTATATTACAAAAAAAACAATAGCAAACCCACTTACAACAATAATTTTGCTTAAGCACAAATGGTAACTTTCATATTCCCATAAACCTAGGCAAATTCAACAAAATTAGTTTTATGGCAATATATTGAACGCCAAGGGACAAACGATGCACATAAGCAATTTAGTCTTTGTTTAACGTGTTTTTATAATGAAGGCTTGTGGACAGTTAATTTGAAAACTAATACAATATTTTAGCATTCTATTTTTGATCTAAGAGCTTGTACAGGTACATACCAGTGTGTTACATAATGAACAAATTAACAAGTTGGGCATTTATTGTGTAAGGAAATCCAAACTGCAAATCAATCACGCTCACCCAGGATTAATGATTTCAGTCAGAAATGTATTAAATTAATCACTTACATTACTTCAACAAATACAATTTACAGTCAAAAACAAACAGGGTATGGTCCATTAGTGCTTGTAGACAACAAATTCTTTATGAATACATTGTGTTTTTTGTTGCAACACTTTCCCAAAGGGTCAGGTTGCCTTGAATACGAAGGTAAGCTGTACAAAATGAGCCAGTAGATGACTTGGTGACCATTTTCAGATGACAAATGACAGTCACATGACAGCACACAGGAAGCTGTTTGGGAGTGGGGGGATACAAACACAAAAACCAAAACAAACATGAACATCTTATTAGGAAAAAGCCATGGCCGCAGCCACAACTTCATCAAATAAATACAAAAAAAAAAAAGAGAACAACTTAATTTTAGTTATGCTGGGGTCTGAGGTACCACAACATTCCTCAAAAGTTTTCACACAAACGACGATAGGGAGCATAAGGAATTTTGTAAAAGGTAATGATGAGGGCCACCCCCCCACACTGCTGGGTTAGCGTGGTGATTTTGGGGGAAGGGGGAGGGTTCCCCCATCTTCAGAGTCATCCATTTTGTTGCATAAACATCACTTGGGCAGGATTGATTTGATATGGCAGGGCAAAAAAAAAAAGGGGGGGGGGAGATTATTTCATACTAACACGCTGTCTGGAATGTTGACCACAGCGAGACGCTTGAGGTTGGCGAGGGGAAATTTTAGGGCTACTACACGAAGAAGGTCTTGATCGCACTGTCCAGCGCCACGCCCGCTTCCTGCATTTCGTACCTGCGGACCACAACCAGTCGTCAGTGGATTCTGCGCCTTCACAATCAAGAATGATTGAGTGAGTGAGATGATATATATATATGTGTGTGTGTAAAAGAGAGACACACACACCAGTGAGATGATGACAAGCTAAACATGCCTCTTTGATGACTAAAACATGACGTGACGTATGAGTTTCGTTGACGAGACTGGACGAAATTGGTCTGTCAGATGTTCAAAATGCATGACATCTCGTCCTATTGTGCTTGTGATCTGTCAAAAAATCTCAACAACGCACTGTCGACGGCGGTCACGGTAAATGTGGCCACAAACAAGGTTCACTTTTTTTTTTAAAGGCTTGCTTTAATTAGAATTTTTTGGGCTTGATATCACATGTTTTAAAATCAATTTAAGTCACATTTTTGGGGCATTTGATTCGATTATTAAAAATAGATCTTTTTTTTCTTCAAGTAATTATGATTTTTCTTGTTTGATGACAATCCGAATCCTGTCTGAAGAACACCTACCAGTCCGAGGAGGTGGCGGCGTAGTAGACGGGCAGCTGTGGTGAGGTGCACGTGGCCCCGGCAAGGTCATCCAGGCCACAGGCACCCATGTTGGCGAAGAGCAGCCAGTCGCCCACGTTGAGTTCGGGCAGGAGGCAGCGCTCCACCACAAAGTCCAACTGATCCAGCGTGGGACCCCACAGGCTGCAGGGGTACACTGCTGCGTCGGCGCACGGCGCGTGCTGCATGCAAAGCAGTGAGTCATGCTTTTTGTGAGGGAACGCGACCAGACCGGCAATAGTGAAATTTGCATATGTGGTAATCGAAAAACAAATTTGGTTCTAAACCCCCAACAATTCTTCAATACTTGAGAATAACTGCTGATAAATATGAAATGTTTTCCCCAGAAAATAGGGTTGCCCTTCACCCCCCCAAAATACAATATTCAAAAATATAACGTTTTTAAATCTTAAATCAGCTAATTGGTGAACCCGTGAGTAAGAAAGTGCAAGTATGCAGGCTTTCACTTTATCTGTAACTATTTTTTTAAATGTCCAAAACAGTCGTCAATTTTGTGGCTAGTCTTTAAAATCTCCAAGACGAATCAACACCAACCTCCTTTTTTTAATTAATTATATGGAAAATGATTATATTTTCTGTATATTTTGAATTAATTTAATTCAACTCAGGCGAAGTGTTTTCAGATTCAATGCTTCTTTATTTAAAAGACTTGTTCCATAAACATGACCATTAGGAATGGGCTCAATAGTGTAACTATAATAATAATTAGTATAATTTTGAAACTTGGGAATAATTTTGAACCACTTCTTGCAAAAGCACACTCATTTTTTCTCCGTCATGACCCTATTAGAAATTTGTCAAATGCTCCCCAAGTGAGAGAAAAAAAGATGTTTATCAAGCCTGCGTCACAGTTTAGTATTAGGAAGTGATAATTAATGGAACTACAGATGGAAAGACATCACTATGATGGCAATTTGCTTTCCTAAGTTTTGAGCTTCAGATGTGCGTTATCTTCAGAAAACCTTGCACAACGTAACGGGAACTAGTTTTGATCTGTGTACTGTTGTAAATGCCGTCGAACAAGAAGGTCAGTAAAGTAGGACGTGCGTGTACAAAACATGTCAGTACACATTGTTAATCTGAAGATCCGCTCCTAAACCCCGACCCGCTTTCAGGTGCATTCATTCAATCGGTCAGGTGGGCGGCCTTCAAACCTTGTGCACTGACGGGGCGGCGATGGCGTTCCCTAGGAGCTTGACACCAAACGGGCCATAAACGCCCTCGCTCATGTAGTACAGGAACTCCGCGTCCTCGCTGTTGTCACCTGACGACACGCACGAGGTTTGAAATGTGGAACAACAACAATAACAACACAACAGGACACCGCAGTGGCGTTTGAGCTCTGACCATGTACTACGATTACTCAACAGCCACGCGTAGGTACTTTACAGCCATGTGATTAATTGGACCCACCTGGAACTAAGCCATCCCAGCAGCGGGTCACCACCTCCTTGGCAATCACGTTGACGGCCAGGGTGAAGGCCGACGCCACATAGAACGAGCCCGGCTGGGCCAGCACGCGCACACCAGACAGCGGCGGGAAGTAGGCTTCCAACAGCGGGCTGAGGACAGATTCCACCTGTGTACACAACGATGTAGACCTAACATTAACTTTGATGCCATGTTTCGTCACCCATCTGTTTTGCGAACATGCCGGGTTCTGATTTTTGTAGCGTTCGGGCAAATCTCAGACAAAGTCCCTTCGATGACAAAACTGACACCATAATGGCCACTTCAAAACAAAATGTCACATTTCTCCCGTCTTATCAGACATGGCTTGGTGAGACTTTTTGGTGGGTCTACTCAGGATGGACATCCCAACCCAAAACTCATTCTTTGCACTTTAGCATCATCCATCTGTCCAGCCTATGTGGTTCAAATATAGAAGCAATCTGAAACCTTGAGCACCCAAGGATCCCACGAGTAGCCTATAGGCTTGTTCTGAAAATAGATCCTGCGATAGGACATTGGTGCTTTGTAAAATTTTGTAGAAAAAGTGATCGTTTGAAAATGTAAACACTGACAGAGATTTATAGAAAATAAAGAGTGCCGCAAATAGACAGTTAGGTGTGACATTGGTAACACAGGCTCTTGGAAAAGTCAGTTTTGGAAGCCTGAAAATGGCAAAAAGACAAGCTAAAATGGCCGCTGCGTTCCAAAATGGCAGACTTTGCGTGTCTAAAACCAAAATGTTCATGTCGCCCAGTCGACCTGATTTCAGGGACTGCCACAGCTAGCGAGACAAAACCTTCAAGAAGTAAACAAGTCTTATCTGTGTCCTTGCTGACACTAATCAGCAGGTCAAAGTCTGACCTCATCAAGATGTCATTTAAGGTGTTGACCTGTTTAAGTTGGAACTCCGACCCGGTGAATCCACCGCCAATGTCCAGGATGTTCATGTTGAAGCCCAGGTCCGCCTACAATGAACAACAAGCAGAGATGTGAGCTTCCAAAAGGCCCGTGAGTGGGGACCACCTGAGCGGGAGTGTGGAAATAATTCACTTTGCTTCACATCTTACGGTTGTTCTCTTATGAAAGTTTACACAGTGCTGGATGAACTTGATGGATGTCCACATTTGTACTTATTCCAAAATGTATTACAAATAACTCCCCCCTCCACCCCCCAAATTAAAAAAAAAAATTCAGTATGAAATGCTGTGTATAGAATTTTGCCATTTCCCATAAAATCTGCATAAAACCCTGGGCACTCACCCCCATGTCGAAGACGCAGCGGGCGTCTGCCAGCGCGTGGCCATAGGCCCGCTGCAGCTCCAGGCAGGAGGTCGGCATGTTTAAGGCCACGCCCACCACCTGCATGCCGAGCACCTTGGCCGCCTCCAGCAAGTGACGGCAGCTCTTCAGGGTCGCGCCGAAGGCCATGCTGGTCTCAGCCGCATGAGCCTCTGTGCTCAGCTGCAGCAACAATCTGCAAGGTCATGTAACATGAACTATTAGTCAGAACATTCCACCTTATTTTCTTGTTCCACCTCTTGAGCAACTATGCTATTAAGCTATTGTTCTTTCGACTGACTTGGCACGTGGATGGAGGCGCGCAATCTTGGCCAGCTCGGCCTCATTCTCGCAGACGAGATGGTGGACTTCGTGCTTGGCGGCAGCCTTGATGAGCGCCAGCTGCTTGCAGACGCCCGACAGGATGATGTTGTCGGGCGGCACGCCGTGCTCCAGCGCCAGGTTGAAGTGCGGCTCCAGCCGCTGTGTGGCACTCTTCCAGAGAGAGTCCTGGCGGATCAGAGCGCCCAGGTCACCCACGATGAAGGCGCTCTTCTCCACCTATCAACACAAAAAAAGCAAAAGATTTAGCGGCACCAACAGAGGCGCAAATTACAACTTAATTCTGGGAAGATGATACACGTTTTCCGAAAAAATTTTCTCCTCTTCACTCTGGTACAAATGACAACTTTCCTTGTAAAATGTCAAAATTGTCCATGTAATTTTACAACTCTGGTAAAAAAACAAAAAAACCAAAACAACCCTGCAGTATGGTTTTCAAAAAAAAAAAACAAAAAAAACAACAACCCTGCAGTATGGTTTAACTTCCCTCTTTGACATCTTAGAATAGCAGGATTACGGTTTAATATAACCCCCCACAAATGTGTTGCCTCTCCCAATCTGTCATCAAGTAAATAAACTGCTCTTTGCAGAAGCACAGAAAATTCTCAGTGTGTGTGTACCAACCGGGGCCTGTTCGCGGATGCGCTCGTCGATGACATCGTCGAGGGTGGCACCACCCCCCAGCAGCTCGACGGTGTAGCCGGCGGGTCGGTCGGCGAGTCCTTTCATCTTACCCGTATTCCAGCGAGCCAAAAATCATTAAGAACGAGTGAGAGAGAATCTGCAGCGAAGGGGTCACGACTGAGCCAAATGGGGGGTCCTGCCGGTTATGCAACAAACTGAGGGGTGGGGGGCAGAAAAAAAATGACATCATTATATGAATGTTGGGAGGTTGATGAACAGGAGAAACAACATGTTGGCATGACTCACATGGACAAGTCGGGAGACGGACCTGTCCCGCTATCAGCTAGGATCCCAAGGCGGCTCAGCGTTGAAGTCGAAGTGCTCCCGGTAAAGAGCTGCCCCTAGGCCCTCTGGATAGCGCTCATACACCTGTGTTGAGACAGGGGAGCCCTGCACGCAGATGTAAACACTCACATTCAACATTGTGGCAGCAATTTGTTATGTTCTATCTAATTTACTCCAGGGATGTTCTGTGCATTGTTAATAATCCAAGGTTTTGTCACATATTCAGTTGGATTTTTTTTTTCTCACAATTTCCCCCCCAATATTCTTTAACAATTTGAGTTTTTTAGGGGTGTTGGGTCGCCACCATTTTCCACATATTGAATTTTTAGGGTTTAGTTATCTCAAAATGTCAAGGGGTGTCAATACTATGCAAATTTGGGCTATTCTTGTGCTGAGCCCAATAACAGGAATCAATTCTGCAGTTAATAAACAAGTTGTTTAAATAGCTTGGATAGATTAGTCCATTTTATGATCAAACTGGGGATTTTTATTTTTATTTTTTTAAAAACACTGATCTGTTCCAAGCCCCTGATGGTGAAAAGCCGAAGCCGAATAAAAAGAGATGTAATTCATCCCAGCAGCATGTCACAAAGTACTAAACAAAGACCAACAGCAGCATTAAGGGGAAATTTAAATTGTTCTCTGTTGAACAAAAACAAAATGCAAACTCACATGTAACATGACTTTTTCCAGCTCAGTGGAATCACTATGAAAGTTAATAAAAGAGGCAAACTTGTGTTTCTTCTCATTGTGGCGAGTTATTAAAAACGGGTTTTGTCGTAATTTTTCCCAGCCCCGGAAACAAGGCTGCCCTTTTTAAAACTACTGGAATGGCCATCTTTGATGAAACGCCAACTGCGCATGCGCACCAAACAACTTGACAACTGAGATCAGTGATTCAATGGCGACGCCAAAGCCGAAAAGACGTAGAGACATTACAAAAACGGCAAATGTCGCGACGAGGGGTCATTTCTATCTCCTCGAAAGGCGGTAGTGCAGAAAAATATACAATTTGTCGCCGAAAAGGGGTCAGATAAATGTGGTGCCAATGAGCACACCGCCATAGAAGCTGACGTTGTCGGCTCACGTTATAAATAGCCCAGCACAGCGCAAAGCACCAGATGCCTATATGACATATGAAATACTCCACCGTAACGTCAGACTATCTCGCTTATCGTTTTAGGTATTTGAACCACACGTTAAGACATTCGAGTCGACGGGAAACCGCATTGTAAAGGCCTGTCAGGTTTGGGTCAATGGAGGCGGAAAGAGCAGCCCGCCATGTTAACGCCACACAGAAACTTACAACACACTAGGGCCTAGTGACTAGGCAATCGACTTACGTGAGATAACGGCCAGAAGGTTTTAGAAAATCGTCTTCTCTTTTTCGGCGGAATTTTTAAAGAGTAGTGGGCCCCACGTTGAAAGAAAGAGCAGCGGCTGTTGTAGCCATATGGGTCGTCGAAGCTTCGTTGCTCGCGAGATCCTCGTCGTCCTGTTGCCTTTTCAACAGTAAGCAAATGACTCCCGCTGCGGCGGTAGGAAGTAGCAAAAGTTCAGCAACGGCTCGTGGGCGTGGCCTCGGTCGTTCGTCAGACCAATCAGCGTTCGACGTTCAGCAATGGCCGAACCAAATATGCATTTCCGAAAAGGGCAGGGGTGTTAGTTATCTGCCTTACGTAATAGTGCACTTCCCGGCAGATGGACGTTCGCACTCGCCGTTGTCACTCAGGGCAGGGCGTCGCTTTCGTGCGAGTTGTCGTCAAGCCCGTCACAAACATTTGGAAGCCATACACCCTGTGTCTCATTCGTTTTTGTTACTTTATGGATTTGGACGCCGATGGTTGGCTCCGAAAAGTCGGCCCAAATGTGAACCATTTCTTTCGTTCATCCATCCAGGTTCTATTGCGCTTGTCCTCAGTTCAGGCGAATTGGAGCCTGTCCCAGTTGCATTTGGGGATACAGTAGACCATAGACTGGTCGCCAGATAATCACAGGCATGTATGGTTTGGGAATGCACAAGGCAAGGAAGCCAACCCAAGATGACTTTTGGCGAGAGAAGTTGCTTCCACCCTGGACTGGTTACCAGCTGAGGTCCATGGGAGTGGGCAAAAAATGTATTCAAGCAGAAGAGCAAAAGTAAAAAGTACTCCAAATAATTACTTGTATAAAATTAAGTAGTCAGTATTTTTTTCATGAATAAATAATATAAAGCAAGGAAAAACCTGCCACAATAAATTGTCTAAATTCACTTTCTTTGTTTACCCAACATGTGAATCGACTCAGAAACCATTTGAGTTCTGGCAATTTACATATTTATCCTCAGTGCAGGGCATACGCTGTGGCTTTTTTTGAACGTGCACAAATACAATCTGCATTCACGCACAGTATTTGACCTGCTGGTTTCATTCCAGACACTTTCATTTGCAAATGCAGACCAAAACATCAGTTTCTATTTCTCAAGTTTCAAATCGAGTTCTTGAAGGCTGAAATAAAGATACACATGACAGCGCATTACAACAGCTGGTCTTTTTCTGTACTTATCTGTAAGGTAAATATACATTTCCACCTTGTTTCACGTTAAAAAACTTTTTTTGTGTATGTGTGTGTGTGTGTGTGTGTGTGTGTGTGTGTGTGTGTGCGTGTGTAATTCAAAAGAGGACACTTGTCAAGTTCTCGTGAGGCCCTTTGAGGCCCGAAGCAAAGCAATTAACGCAAGTGGAACACGTGGTTTTTTTTTCACGACTGAGAAATTTGGAAGTAGAATTCAGCCACTGCAAGGTCAGACTGCAAGCTCCCAAAAACCTTTGCTCAAATTAAGTGGTAACTTTTTACATTTTTTTTAAAAAAAACATGTTTTCTCACATTTTGCTCAGCAAAAAAGAAGTCTACTTTTGATGAGTGTTAGTTGGTGGCCAGCTAGTGAGCGAATATTGTTAGCAGAGGACTCCAGAATTCGGGGCTAACATCAGCATTAGCGTTGTGACCCCAATGTTCTGGCTAACCCAAGTATGACTTAAGCAGCGTTACGTTAGCGTTAGTGGTGGCCTCCAGTGCTCTGGCTAACTAAAGGTCACAAACATTAGCAGTTTACTTCAGTGTTCGGCTAACTACTGTCTGACATTAGTCTTAGACTCCAGTGCTCAAAGGCTAACTAGTGCTCATGCGAGAAGTGAACACCTGTGCTGAGGCTAACTTGCGGCTAACGTTAGTAGTGGACTCCAGTGCTTGTATCGAATATCACCAGATATCATTGCCATTTGTTTTCAGTGGACTCCAGTGATCTGGCCAACTAGTGGCTAACATTAGCTCTGGACTCAAACATTCTGACTAATAATCTGCCAACATTAGCAGCTGACTTCAGTGCTCAAGGGATAATGAGTGTTTCACGTGATTAGTGAACACCAGTGCTCGGGGTAACTTCTGGCTCATGTTAGAAGTGACATGTGCTCAGATTGAATATCATCAGATAGCATTTGTTATCACTGGACTCCTGTGTTCTGGATAAATACTGGCAAACATTAGCAGTGAACTCCATTTGTGTGGTCTAACAAGCAATGGCTAACATTAGCAGTCTATTCAAGGTGCGGTATATGATGTGAAGCATTTATTTTGGTGAGGGGGGGGGAGTGTGATAACGGGATATTTTCCTCATTTAGTCCCGCTCACGCGTCAAGCGTAAAAGGGAAATGATTCGTTTTGATTCATTAAGCGTGGCGCTGGTCAGTTCAAGCTTGGAACCCCTGCGGGGTGAAGGGAAGACAATAGTTTTCAAAAAACATAAGTGAAGCCATTTGCTGTTTATGCATTTTTTATTTCCAGATTGTGCGACTTCAGCAGATGCAAACAACACAGCCGAGTGATATGCAGTAAAATATGCTACACAGGTCTGCTCATGTACTGATTAACTCTTTCATTCCACAAGACGTACTTGTACCCTTTTTAAAATTAGGCCCCGCCTACCAAGGACGTACTTGTACATCTAAGTTTTTTTTTTTTTTTTGCGTCATAGAGAGGAGGAGGGTCTGATGCAATCTGTGAATGAGAATAAGCCGTTTGCATTGTAAATCACGTAAAAAAGCGACCAGTAGGTGGCAGTGGTGCCTCACATGCTTGAAATGCATGCTTTTACAAAAGCTCTTTTTCTCCGTTTTTTACCCAGGAATCGCCATTTTCATGAAACGTAGCCATTTTGTAATGCCGATTCCTGAAGAATGGAAAAAGATAGAAAAACCATGCTCCATGTTTATATAGCATTCGTACCAAATATTCTGTGGGCCTTGCAGGATCAGTCAAAATCCAGTGAAACGTTGGGATTGAGGGGGTTGCTCCAGTGAAAATGGCTGGGATTGAATGAGTTAAAAAAGAAAAAAGAAACTTTTGGCTGGGAAAATGGAAATAAACAAAGTGACGTGAGTAATGAATTCGGATTGGTGGCCTAACTGATTATCTAAAGTTTCACTTTGACGACTTGTAAGGAAGATATCTTGATTTGGATCAGATAGAAGTCAGCGTGACATCCACAGAGTCATGGGGAAGTCATTGATACCCAGCCAGGGTTTTTTTTTTTTTTTTGTAAACATTTTAGGAGTGTCTTGGTGTCACTTGCATTCTCCATATCATTGCATGGTAACATTTGGTCTGTACATCGAAAAACTGTAATAAATTACAGTACAATACATGCTGATTTATATCGCGCTTTCACAACAGCGGCAACTTAATCTCATTTTCACCCTTTCTACAATGTTAGTTTTTAGCTGTTTCTATCATTAATGAGCATTCAAAATATTTTATTCTAATAAAATTTTTACAATCTTTGAATTGCGCATTTTTCAAAATGTATCAAAAATATCAGTTTTTCCATTGGGAGCACCAATAAGCGTCAGTACATACAGTGATGGTAAAACGCTGTCTCACTGCTAATTGTTGTGCATTTTGATGCGATCCAACATGGAAGGCCCCACGTAGTTGTTGGTCTTCACCGCGTGCAGCCTGCCAACGTAATCATCAGGAAGTCCGTTCTGCTCGGCGCCACAACACACCACCTTCGCACAAAAAACATATTCACTTGTACCTCACTCATAAATACTTTTTTTTTTCAACATCGCTTATCATGAAGAGGGTCGTCGGGTGTCGCGGGAGCTTATTTTAACTGACTTCGGGCAGAAGGCAGACTACATCCTGGGCTGGTTGCCAGTCAGTCGCAGAGACAAACGACCATATCATACCGTCACTGAGTAGGAACCGACTGCACACTGCCCACAGACAACTCAGGATAGTGGTTCACTACACCATCAGTGACTTCATAATTACTTCATATGTCTTATTTTGTTACACACAAGAAACACTGAACATCCATCCATCCATCCATTTTCCGATCCGCTTTATCCTAACAAGGGTCGCGGGGGGTGCTGGAGCCTGGAGATTCATTTTGTTCACAATTAAAAAAACGTATGGCTCTTTCTGTTGTGAATGAATGCGTTTTTTAGGTATTGAATTTGTAAATAATTTTGGGGGAAAAAAAAATCGGTGAATGTGCATATGAACTGGTTGGGTTTGGTGCCTCTAATAAGTTTAAGAACCACTGATTTAGACTGTTCAATCAGCCTACCATGCATGTTTTTGGAATGTGGGAGGAAACCGGAGTACCCGGTGAAAACCCACGCAGGCCCGGGGAGAACATGCAAACTCCACACAGGAAGGCTGGACTGAACCCGCGACCTCTGCACTGTGAGGTCGACGTGCTAACCACTGGACCACCAACACTGAACATTTTATTTATTTCATATACAGTGATCCCTCACTTATCGCGGTTAATGGGGACCGGAACCACCCCCGAAAGACGAAAATTCTCGAAGTAGGGTTTGCACCCCCACCCCGCCCCACCTAAGAATTTTTGTGTCAGGGTTTGTGGGTACCAGCATCTTTAAAATATGTAAACAGTATTTATACTTTACATATCGGAGACAAAGACTATAGCAGTACACATTTTTACTTAAATCTTAAATTATAAAACCTTATACAGTAATTAACATTCATCAGCATTGCCTTTATGCAGCTCTGACAGTATAGCCTCTATTAGCCTCTAGCCAGCTATCCTTATGATTAGACAATTAAGGAGTGGAGACAGATGCTGCTTTTTTCACACAAGCCCAATCACCCGCTCTCTTTTCTCTCTCTCTCTCTCTCTCACACACACACACACACACACACACACACACACACACACACACACACACACACACACACACACACACACACACACACACACACACACACACACACACACACACACACACACACGCACACAAGCGCGCGCTCACACACATGTTGCGAAGTAAACAACACTGATCTAGGCAACCATGTAATTAGACACTGATCAAAGAGTAACCCACGTGATAAGGAGGTTGCTGTGCGGGGCTGCGAAGATGCACAGCCAATCAACATGGCTGTGCATCATGGGATAGATTGACTAGTGCTGTCATAGGTCGACGTTGCGCTGGGAACAGGCATGTATAAAACCTCTGAGTCATTAGGCATTTTTTTCTGAATACAGTACTTTGGAAAAAAAACAGCTATTCACCGAGGCCGCGATAATTGAACCACGAAATACCGAGGGATCACTGTATAAAGAGAGAGAGAGAGAGAGAGAGAGAGAGAGAGAGAGAGAGAGAGAGAGAGAGAGACAGACAGCCATACAGACAGACAGACACACAGACACACACACACACACACACACACACACACACACACACACACACACACACACACAGTATAGACACGAACATGTTTGTACTGTGGTGAGGGAGGACGAGCATGGAAGTTGTTCATCTGGTACGTCCTGCACAGCATCTCCCCGTGGTTGCTGCTCTCCACTCTCACCTCCAGCGGGGAATAAATACCGACGTGGATGCCTTCCTGCCTGAAAACACACGCAGGCCCTGTATCACATTGTGTGCGCGTGTGCATGTGCGTGTGTGCGGATCTGACTTGTCCAGGGTGTCCTGGTGGTCTCGGTCGAGGGTCCAGACGACCCCCCACACCTCAGAACCAGGACTTTCTCGGATGGTGGCCACTCCGCCGTGCCAGCTGTTCTCAGCACCTCTGCCCCAAACGCCAAAATCCAGTTGATAGTCCTGCACGCAGACGCGTTAGAATCTAACATTTGTTTTTACGTGATTTGACTTGTGGTCACTAGTGAAATTATTTGTGTGCCTTATACATCCAAGTCAATATCTGCGGAACTCACCTGACAAGCACAACAAGTTACGCCCAATAAATGATATTGAACTTTTTGTTTCTCGCAGAACAAAAGGGATTAACGCATTATTTTGGCGCCATCTAGTGGTGATCATTGGATTGTCAGAAGTGAAATGTATGTTTCTGCTTCCCCGGCGTTGTACTTCCTCGTGTAGTGTTCTTTGCCGTTAAAATCCATTGTGTACAAATGAAAAGCCCACGCGGACTACACGGCGACAGTGTAGTTATTTAGCATTTATTGGGTGTCGCCATTACTATATCGCATGAATCGACGTACAGACATCAGTAACAAAATGTGGACATGATCAGAAAAACGGTTTATGTCGCGCGTTTCGGCGGCATACCAGGTGGCTACAAATGAGCATCCATAAATACACAAAATTTGAATGACCTTCAGTCGACCGGTATCGAGGTACGTCGCTGAGGGGTTTTCCAGGTGCAGTCTTTCCTTTAACATGTTGCTCCCAAACGCAAAATACACAAAGGTGCCGGTTCCACCTGGCGCCATTTCGCAATTTTGGGTTCTATGAACGGGTCGTCACCGTTACCGCGAGCAAGTGCGCTGCTAATGGTTCGTCAGCTAGTTATGACTCGTTTCAACCATACAAAACCGGTCTGTCTGCAATTGTTCACACATCACATCAACGGGGTAAATGTTCACACACTTGACAGGCGGAAGCTTATCGGAAATATCACGTCTCAGCAGCTACATCCGGTTCCGGCGTCACGTATAAGGACACTGATGCGTACAGTGATATATGAGACTCAGTAAGCTAACTAATAGTCAAACAGGCACTAGTTAATCACATAATGTGTAATCATCCATTTTTCAATCCGCTTTATCCTCACAAAGGGTTGCGGGGCGTGCTGGGGCCTATACCAGCCGTCTTCGGGCAGTACATCTTGAACCGGTTGCCATCCAATCACAGGGCACACACAATCATTCGCTCACTCTCACACGGAGGGACAATTTAGAGTGTTCCATTAGCCTTCCATTGATGTTTTTGGAATGTGGGAGGAAATCAGAGTACCCGGAGAAAACCCACACAGGAATGGGGAGAACATGGAAACTCCACACAGGAAGGCAGACGCTGGAATTGAACCTTGCACCTTTGCACTGTGAAGCGGCGTGCTAACTCGTCGACCATTGTGCCGCCCCCTGTGTAATCATCCATCCATCCATTTTCTGGTCCGCTTATCCTCACAAGGGTCGTGAGGGGTGTTGGAATCTATCCCGTCTTCAGGCAATTGGCGGGGTACACCCTGAACTGGTTGCCAGCCAATCACAGATGTGTCATCATATAAAAATTAATTCAGCATTTTGTATGAAATTATGAACTTTAATGAGAAAAAGGTAACAGGTTGAGGCCTCAACCTTAGTAAATCAACAGCTTCTCATTAAGGAACGTTTTAATGTACAAATCAAGGAGTCGGGAGAAAAAAAAAATCACAGAAAAAGAAGCATCCTGTACAAAAACAGTGAAGAAAGAGCAGGTGAAAAGTAGTTTGGGGGGGAGGTGATCATCTCCTAGGGCCCCCCCGTCCTCGTCCCCGTCCTCTGCCGCGTCCTCGGCCTCTGCCCCGACCTCGTCCAGCCACTGCACAAACACACACCAGTCAGTGACGACTTTCCTGAAACGAGCACCTTCAAGCTCTCCTGTGCTGGTGAAAGAAAAATGTATTTGCTATGTTTTCTATGGCCAAAATGACCAATTATGTTTTTTATTGTGGAGTGGTGAGAGAACAAAAAAAGGTCAGATAACTTTTGTATTTGGAAAAAGTTAACATTAAACTTACACAGACCCATTCTACTATTTTGACAGGCATTTGAAGTATTCCAAACTTTGGGGGGCGGGGTAAGTGTTGGATGAGTCATACCATTTTGGGGTGAAAATACACACATTCCATTTTAGTACCGGGCAATAAGACAATACTGGCTTACCGGCTTCTCTCTTCTTCGACTTGATCTTGGGCTCGATGTCAACGAGCAGCGTGTCGAGTGGCAGGCTATCGGGCAAGATGAAGTAGCGGATGTTGTTGCCGCGGATGCTCAGCGACTCCAGCTGGGCCGGCTCGCGGTTCTTCGGCGTCATCTTCACCGCCTTCAAGTGCGTGTTCATGCTCACGTCCACACCTGCAAGAAGGTGCACGCACATGCGCAGCCTTGTATAAAATACCCAACAGCAAAACTTTCAAGTACCGTAATTACATTTTTATGCAATTATTAAAATAGTAAATTGAATATTCAATAGCAAAATACATTCTAAAAATATTCAGTCGTGACAGTCCTGCATAAGTTTGTTACGACCACCTTTTTTAGCATTTATTGTTGCAGCCCGAAAGCCGTCACTTCAAGTCAAACGTTTCCATTATTCGTCAACCCTTAATTGCATTCTGCCTCCATCGAAATTAACACACACAGAGATGTGACATTTCTGCTCAGGTTTTCCATTTCTTAAAAGCTGTTTAAGAACAGATTGTCACTCGGCGGGTCGAAAAAGTAGCCAACTTGCACCTTTGCATTCAAAGTCATGTTGATAGTTTACGCAATGCATGTAAGTAGTGGTGCGTTTCCAACTATGTAAGTTGTTAAAAATGTATTCCTGATTTTAGTTTTTAATGAAATTTCTCATTATAATGTACCTATCACGCGGCTGTATTAACTTTTTGTATTTTGGTGCTATATGGCGGTTAACTTTACCTGTGATGGTGCCATGGACCTGGGTACCGTTCTTCAACTCGATGGTCACCGTCTCGTGGCTCAGTTTCATCAAAAACCTGTGGGGTCGGTGTTAATTATTCATCTGTCCTTTAATCTGCAACCTAATTTTAACCACTTTGAAGCAAAACAAAGGCCTTAACGACATCTTATGAGAAAGCAAACAATGGAATCACGCTGTTGACACAGAATACAATAGTGTACGTTTCAAATGAATTTTGGACTCCTATGCTGCTACAAGCTAACTCATCTTCGATGTGGAAGAAAGCAGGAGTGGGAGGGTTTCACCGTAGATACTACAAACATGCTACGGCTACAGTCAAGCGTTTATACAACGCACGTAGGCTAAATTTTAGTACAGGTTGATGAAGTCCATCCACGTGCACGTCAAATGTCTGTCAATTTTCTTTCCTAGCTTAACCGTCTCCATTCATTCGAACCGCCGCTTTCTGCCTGGCGCGCTCTCGACACAATCAACTCCCGGACTCCATCTACCTCCATCGGGAGTCTAAATCCTCGTTTCGCACGCTGGACAACACTTTATCAGACACACGGATGCGTTTTCAAGCGTCTCACCTGACTAGTTTCATGGCGTCGCGACAATTCTTACACCAAAATTGGAGTGCAAAAAATAAAAAATTACGGCGCTAGATTTGAGGCAAACCAGTAGGCCGCAAACGGTAGATTTTACGTTGACTGAGCGCATCCGTGACGTCAACTAAATGCGCCCAAAAGGGGTTCCCGTGGCCACAGCGCCACCAACAGGAAAGGCGACGTACTAATCGTCAACGAATGCAATTTTATCCGTTTAACCCCCCGTTCCCCGCACCCACCCAACAATATTTATGGGTCCTATAGTCAATTGCGTTTCACCCTAAAGACGTTCTGTAGAGATGCCTCAAAAAATATAAATATAATACCTCAGGCCATTTTGACATTATACAACCACCCGAATCTAAACTTATCAGATTTCTGACAATCCATCTGAGTGTTCTACACTTCGCAAAGTTTTTGTAGGTAACAGTGCAATTATTCAACACAATGAATAAATCACCCCCAACATTGTTGTTTTGTAAGACAATGTGTCTCTTATATGACACAAAAATGCTTTTATTGTGAATTAAAAACAATGTTTTTCCTTTAAACCACAAAGCACTGAAGCATCTCGGAGCAGTGTTTTTTTTTTCTTTTTAATTGAGCGTAAACTTTGCACTGACACACTTTCATTTGACACTTTTTTTTTGTAGCCACACATTAAAGAACTACTCTTTTGGATGCAAGTGGGAATGTATCAAGTATCATAGATAAGCGTGAAAATGCCTTTCCTGCTATTCTTTGAGGTGTCACAATAAAACCATCACCAAATGCCACAAATGCCAAAGAAAATCAATCATCATAAATGACCAAGTGAGTGTCACACTTCCAAAAAAAATAAAAATAAAAATAAAAGTGGCATGAAATGTTAACCTACATTTTTTTCCCCTCAAACCGACAAACAGTCACTAGAAGGCGTTGCAGCCACTGTACAAAACGTTGACAGCAATTAACGCATTATTTTGGATTGATTTTGACATCCTTATTCCAAAATGTCCTAACTTGATTGAGAGGAAATCAAAGGACTGAATCGTATTTTGATGTCAAACATTTTGAGGCTACATGATTGGTCCCTGGTGTCCAACTCGGGGCCCGCGGAGGAATTTTACGCAGCCCACTGCAATGTCGAAATGTAAATTCTGATTGAAAAGAAAAAAAAAAACAATCAACAATACAAATAGTTTCAAAACATGATTAAAGCTAACCTAAAAAAGGCACACAGACAAAAGTATGTCTATTAACAACACACTGCACATTATAATTTCAGTACAGGGGCAAAAAGAAATATTTCTGCTTTTTTTTTTTTTTTTTTTAATGGTGCAAAACCCAAAAGCAGTGACATTTTTTTTCCAGAATCTTTTAGTGTATGGTAACATTGACATCTGTATTAAAAAAATTGCTACAATCAAAATACTCCACTGATGGCAACTGTGTAGATGAAGATGGATGGCACTTAGGAAATGGACACTAATCTCCACAAAAAAAAAAAGGGGCAAAGGAAATGGCTGCCCCTGTTGTAATTGCGATATTACTAATGAGTGTATCTATTGGCAGACAAAAACGAAAAATAAAATCAAACATAAGAGAGGGTCTGGTTCGTCTCCTCCAGGCAGTGTGCTTGAAGATCCAGTTTTAAAAATGAGGCCCTCTTGATTGTACAGTACGCTAGGGCTAGCTCCGAAGGCTACAGCAGGATTGTGTGTTTCCCCCCACTATGTTGAGCCTGATAAAAAAACAAAAAAAACAAAAAAAAACATTGGCTGTTCGTTTGGATTGAAGCACCTAAACACCACTGAACAAACACTTTTGAGGCCAAGTCCACACAAATACAAGTATTCAGGAAAAATAAACAAAGACAATTCTAAAAAAAAAAATTTCAAATTGTTTAGATAAAAAAAAAAAAAGATGTCGATGTTATCTTCGTTTAGGTGCCTTTTCTTTAAATGCCTAAAATCAGACAAAACCTCTGATTCGGAGTTACAGCTCCATCTGTTGCTTTGGCATACACTGTTTACACAGATGGAGATTTAAAATTTTGGACACTTTTATAAAGGTGTGGAACCTTATTTGGTGACATAAGTCAAAAGCGAATGCTACCCAGGGACAAAAACAGGTATCAAAATAATTTTTTTTTGGGGGGCGGGGGGGGGGCGGTGGAGAACATGAACGTTTGGAAATTTTTCACATTTTAAAAACCGTTTTGTCCAAATTGGTATTTGTACGTGGATAATAAAATTGTTTATTTTTTCCGGCGTAACGTAATGTAACATTGATTTATGGTTATGGTGTCTTTCCCAGAAATGGCTTTCTTCAGGTATCTAATTGGCTAGTAAGATTATCGATGTTACAGTGCCACCTGTTGCTTTGGCATGCACTGTACACAGGGATGAAGAATTGTCTTACATTGTATACTTTTTCTAAGGTAAATCAAATTGTACACGGTAACTTGAATAAAAAAGTGTGAAGACAGTCATACAAAGATTAAAAAAGTATATATATATTTTATATATATTTTTTAAAAACTGTTTGTTTTTCTTAAACATTGGAACTGGCTGTTTTTTCATGACTACCAGAAGCTCAGTTTTGATGTTTTGAATTGGTTATTTGGTCTTTTCCTGATATATATATATATTAAAAAAATCCAGGAATTAGGCTATGTAACCAAATGTTTTAAAGGTTTTGTTTTGTTTGGGTGTAGATGGGAATCGAACACCATTATCCTTTTTTTTAATTTTATTTTTTTGAATTGAGCCTTTTCCTTGAATGGCTTTTGACTTTGGCTAAGGAGTTAGAGCGCCACCTGTCTGCTTTTGCATGCCTGTTCACATGAACGGGAGCTTTCTTGGTTGTATGTGGGCCTTTCCAAGGCAAGGAACTGTATCAGGTCAAACAAAATGGACGCCACAGTGGGTAACAAAACAAAATGGATGCCACCATGTCGAAGGAACCATTATATTAATAACAGAGGAAATATTCATTATAGTTAAAAAAAAAACAGTAAAATAAATTAAGATTCCAGAAAAGTACTTCTAGATTAAAAAAATACATATCAAATAAATACCTGATTATATGTGGACAAGTGATAAATGGGAATAAATTAAAACAAAATGTGCAGCACTTTGTGTGACCATCTTTGCAAGCTTTGCCGTGATTTGCTTTGATTTTTAAACACAAATTAACAAAAAACAAAACAAAACTGCCCTTGACATCATTGCTTCACGTCCTCGTTAGATACATCATTACAATAATTAGTCAAACCTCGGTTCACAAACGCCGAAAAGAATGAATCGGTTCTCAGTCCTAGAACATTTCTTAATCTTGTTTTTATGATTTTTTTTTTTTTTAAAAGAAACAAAAATACTTTACTATGAAGATTTCGTCAAACCGCAGAGCAAGAACAGGAATACAAAGACCATTTGCCATCTTGAGTTCGCCAGAATGAGGGCTAATTGAGCGCAAAAAAAAAAAGAAGACAATAATACCTGCATGTAAGATAGGTGACACATGGAACATTTGTTAACCAAAGCAAAAATTGTTTGAAAATCTTGTGAACCGAGGTTTGACTGGACAATAAGAATCTTCAGAATAATACACAAAGTAAAAAGCAGCTCTCTTCTTTTACCTCACACCAAGTGGACTTTCTCCTCCCACTCTACCGGCGACTGGTCCTCTTCCAGCTGGAGGACCAGGTCCAAGTCTTCGGGGGCGTCTGTGTGAGGAGACGCGTCCGCTGCCCCTCTATCACTTTCTTCGTCTTTCTCCTCCTCGGTCGCTCTGTTGTCCAACTCCAGCGTGCTGGGTCTGCTGGGACAGGAGTGTGGCGGGTCCAGCTGTCCCTCTGGGGGCTGCCAGGCGAAGGCGGATTGGGCAGCAAATGCCTCTGGGGCCGCCTCCGTGAGCTCATCCGGGGACGAGTCGCTCTCGGTGGTGGGCGGCGAGGGGATGAGGGCCAGGCTCTGAGGGTTGTTCTGCGACGTGATGTTGTGGTTGAACCAGGCCATGATGTTGTCCAGCAGCTGGGCGCTGGCGGTGGGGTCCAGGGCCTCCAGGCTCTGTGGGTCGCTGGGGGTGAAAGGACCCCCCGGCGGGATAATCGGCGACAGCAGCAGCAGCTCGGGTTCAAGCTCCGGAGACGGCAGGCACAACTGGGCGGGGGGGCGACGGAGAGCATAGTCGGACGGACTCTCGAGGGCAGTGTGTTCGGCCTCGGCCGGACGTGTGCTTGCGTGGCAGTGACTCTGAGGGTCCGAGTCGGTAGCCACCGGGTTCCCGAATTTCATAAGGCTGTCCCCCAGCTTCAGCAGCTCGGCGCTGAGCGGGGGAGGCGGAGGAGGGAGGGGCAAGGTGGTGGTGGTCTGCGGCGCGGACGACGCAGAAGAACACGACGAGGAGTCTGTCCTGTGGGGAGGGCGTGGAGGGTCGGGAAGAGACAGCGAGCCCCTCGTCGCTCCCGGGGGGTCGTCACCGGGGTCCCCTGCGGGACCCCCGGGGGGAGCCTGCAGCCTGCGCTCTAGCTCAGGGCCCCGGTCTCGTCGAGACTCCTGAAGGGACAGCTGGATGGCCAGCAGGATGTTGGGGTCGTCCTCGTCCAGGGAGCCCAGCGCTCGATGCCGGCCCTCACTCCTCTCAAGGCCTTCTGGAAGAAAGAGAAAAAAAGCACATTGGAGCTTAAGAAAAAAAAAAAAGTTACACATATGAGCCTGTTTTGAGGAGGCGAAGCAGTTTCGTGGAACTGAGCTGAGCCACTTCCTTCAGCCAGTCTTAGTACTGTGAGAACAAAATCAGATTTTTCAGAGAAAAGGTTGAACTGTGAGATTTAAAGAGTTCTCAGAGGAAAAAACATGAGACAGGATAAAATGTTTTGTTTTTTTTTAAACTTCCGGTGCGACTCGACCTGACACAGTGTCCAAATACACATCAAGCCTTCGTAGGCGTTGAAGGACCCCGGCCTGCCAATTTCTAGAATTTGGAATTGCCGATGCCAACTGTGCGCACTTCTTAGAACTAACATTACTGCTCCCTATTGGCCGGGAGTGCAACAGGATCATCCGAAAAGCACTCTGGCATACGAGTTGAGTATTGCGTGGGTGTGCATGTGCGCGCGCGCGAGTGCGACATATGTCGGACCTGTGCTGTCGCTCCTCCTGCTGCTCTCGGGCGTGTTGCTGCCGCTTCGGAGATTGTGCAGATTCAGCATCTCTCCCCTGCGCCGCGCTCGATGCCGTCGGCGATACTGAATGTCAGCCAATTCCTGACGAGCACCAAACCGACCGTAAATCCATTTTCCACACACACAAAAACGACGAAATAACCCACAGAAACAAGAAAAGAAAAAAAAATTAAAATAAAAGCCTACCTGTGACGCTCGGTCTCTTTGGTCTCCTGCTCCCAGCACAGAGTGTCGACTCCCCATCTAGGACACACACAAGCGTGACCGCATTTAACATGAGGCCTGCCGAAATGTTCTGCGAGAGACTTCAAACATCAGACTGGATTGGTCGACATGCAGACAAACAACCAAGCAGAATCCGAACTGGCATTCAAACCCGGAACCCCTAAAACTAAGCGCAACTCCCGCCGCTTTACCTCAGGAGAGGCGAAGCCCAAGTACTCCCAATCCCACGATCCTCCAGCATAGCTGAAACAAAGCATAAGATCAGCGATGCTTCATCAAAGTGGCTGTTCATGATCCGTTTTGCTGCCGCCTTTTTTTTTTTTTTTTTTTTAATGCCGGGGCATTCCTTACTTCCTGCGCATGGGCTCGGGCGAGTCGTTGGGCGCCACGCCGCGGGCCACCGACGCCAAGAACTCCTGCCGCTTTTGCTGGACCAGGCGGGCGGCGCTGATGATCTTGTGGCACGGCGTCCTCAGGTAGGAGCGGTTCACCTTCTGCGCCAGGTCTTCCACCACCATCTCCAAGTCCGTCTGGCCGCAAGAAAGACCCACAATGGTGGAAAACTTACCACTTGTGAATCTGTCTGTGGAACATAGCAAAAAACGCAACACGCAAGATGCCAGGAGATGGTCGCTAAAACCTAAAGAGTTTTCAGAGTCGAACTGGGAAAGTGGTGCAGTAAATTGTGTCAAAGAAGTATGTTGAAGTGATAGATCTAAGATTAAGATCCGAGCTTTGTGTGTCGGGAAAAAAAAAAGAGTTGGTTTAGCCTGGGTTGTTAGCGGAAGTGAGTCAACAACCTAAACTGTTAAAAAAAAAAAGATTAAAAAAGAAGAATAAAATAACTTCTTTTGCCCCTTGACACCATGCATCCATTTTCCTAATCGCTAACAATAAAGCATTGAAATTCAGGGTGAAAATTTGAAAGTTTTACAGTATTTTGTCATTCAGTATTCATTTAACTTTAAAACAGGGAGAAAACTTGACCCCAAAATCCACAAAAAAACTTGCCTATTTTTTTCAGTGCCAATGAGTCGAATAGGCCCAAGTTTGCACTCAAATCTTTTTTTTAAGGGGGCAAATCAGCTGTGGTGGAGAAATACAAATCTAATAAATTGAACATAAGACAATTAAACATCACATAATTCGGAAAGAATAACCAATAACAAAGAGTTTATATCCCCTTTCTTCTGTGTTCCAATTCATTAAAAAGCCATTCATTTTGCATTAAATGAGTTTGAAATTATATTCAACAGATTTTGTGATCATAGTTTGGGGTTCAACTATGAATGAAGGCAATCGGAACATTTTGAGACGTCTTGAGGTGACTTTTTGCTCTTTGCGTGGAGTACCTGCATGAGCTCAAAGATCTCCTTCTGCGTGCTGCCCTGCTGCAGGAAGAAGCCGTACGGGTAGGAGCACTTGAGCACGCGCCGCGTCTTCAGCAGCTCGCTCACGCCGTCCTCGATGAAGCGCGTGTCGGGCGTGGCGCCCTCACCTGGTGCAGACGCACAAAGGAAGAGGGCCTTAATATTTGCGTTTGTGCCCATGCGGCAGAATAACAAAAATCAGCTTTTCTGACAACAGGGCAACACACACACTTCACGTCAGAATTCCCTTGATTGTTGTGAGACTTCTCAGTCCCCGGAACAGATTCAGGACACCCAGTGCTGGGTGGAGAAAAGCAACCCCAGAATGAAACGGAGACCAAGTTTTCTAAGAGTGGGCACTTTATCTTAGTGAGCAGTTGAACAGATCAACTTTCCACTTCAAGTGAAAACGACTCACGGCTAATGAAGGCCCTGCTCAGCTGCTCCATCTTCTCCTTGGCCGTCTTCAGCAGTTTCTGCTCCAGCTAAAATAAAATAAAATAAAAAAATAAAAATTAAAAAAAAAACCCAAGAAAAAAAATATTCAACACGGGACAAAAGTAGAAGGAAACGCCACAGAGAGTAAGCAGGTAGGCTTATTTTTTTTGTTTCCTCATACTCAACCAAATCCTTGACTGAATACAAGTGTGTGTGTGTGTGTGTGTGTGTGTGTGTGTGTTGGCCACCTTGTAACTGTGCTCGTGGTTCTTGAATCGAGTGTAGTAGTGCATGAAGCGGTCAAGCTCCTGGAAGCTTTTGTGCTTCTTCTCTGCCTATGAACAAACATTTTCGAAACGTCATGACCATATAAGACGCCTTGCATTTTCTTTTTTTTTTTTAAAGAATCTGATAGACTTAAAAAAAAATAATAATCTTACAATTTAAGTCTCACTGCATTTTTACGACATTAAACTTGAGTTTAAAAAAAGTTAAACTGAGAATGTATTTTTTTTAACAAATAAATATTCATACTCAAAACCAGACTATTGGGAGAAAACATTTGTAAAACAACAAATCTTGTGTTTACATTTTTTTAAATATCCAACATATACTGTATATAAAATGTTGAGATAAAATACAAGAATGAAGTCAGAGAAATGTCTTTTTTTCTTTTATCAAGCAGTCAGAATAGTACATGACTGAAGTTCTATTTTATTCCAAAGAAAAAAGTTGTAATTTTACGAGTTATAGTTTTAGAGAGAACAAAGTTGTACTTCTACGAGATAAAAGATGTACGGAAATTTATGCGGAGGTAAAAAAAAAGTTGTAATCTTCGGATATGACCTCTTTTTTATTCATTAAAAAGTCAAAAATCTACAAGATTAAAGTTGCACCGAGGGAGAACGTCGGAATGTTACGATTGCACGTTATATTCTCCGAGAAAAGAACTTGTAATATCTATGTATCATATCGTCACTTTCCGAGAATAAAAATTTAGTGACGATTTCACTTCATTTTTCTTTCTTTGGGTGAGCGAGTGTTTGCACCTCGACAGTCATCTCTTTGGACTGCTCCTCCAGCTGCTGGATGACCTCGTAGCGCGTGCAGCGGTAGTAACCGCCCGTCGACGAGCTGTGCTTCTTCCACTCCTCCAGGCAGATCCAGCAGAAGTCGTACTTGCACTGTTAATAATAATAAAAAAAAAGAAGAAAATAAAGTCTCTGCAGATGCGTGCGCGTGTTGCTCTCTTCACATATGCCCCACCTTGGCACACTGCATGTGGTTGCAGCCCTCGTTCTTCTGAATGGGGGACTTGCAGTTGGCACAGGGCTTGGAGTTGGACAGCAGCCACAGGCAATTTGCGGCATCCTCGTAAGCCTCGCTCACACCTGCCACTGGCAACGGAACGCGCGCACGCGTTTGAATCATTTCAAACCTGCAAACTACGCCGCCGATCTCCGGGTCGAGACTTACGCTCCTCAGGCTTCATCTCGGTGACTTTTTGGAGCCAGTTCTTCCACATGTGACAGTCGCAAGGCTCGTGGGCCTCGCCAAGGCACTCCCTGGGCAACACGGGGGTCGATTTGCCGGCAAAATGGGAAAAGGTGAGTGTGAAGAGCTTGTCTTGACTTCAAATCTTGCGGCTGAAATATGAGTTTACCAGCAGAAGAGGTGGCCCTTGCCGCAGTCGACGGCCGGGGACGGCAGCAGCGGGAAGCCGTGCGGGTCGCTCTCACCCAGGCCGGGCCGGGTGAGACGCACCGCCCGCTCGCAGCGTGCCGCCGGACACCAACGGATGGCCGGATTGTTCTCCACAAAGGCCTGTAAGTCCAAAAAGAAAGTTGAGAACGCTAGACAGAAACAAAACAGTCTGAAATACGTCAGCCTGAGTCGAAAGGGAATTGCAGTTCCATTCCAGCCCTGTAGTTGGCAGTCAAGCACGCCCAAAAAGAAATGCCAACAACTTTTCCTCACATCTCTATTTCACAGAGTTTCACTGGGTGTGTCTGGAACAAAAATGTCAAGTTTGCTGAACATAAAATTAGTCTCACTAATTAACTAATTTAAATAACGCCTTGGAATTAGCATGTTAACTGTTTGCGGTGGCACCTTGATATCAAACTGCAGGTAGCGCTGGTCCATCTCGCGCGAGACCACGCTCTCGATGACGTGCACGGGCACCAACTGGTAGCACTCGTAGGCGGGGCAAAAGATGTTGTGCGCGTCACCTTCCTGGATCTTTATATTCAGGAACCTGAGATAAAACGGCATGGGGAACGTTAAAAGGCGTCACCGTGTCAGCTTTTAAACATGCCGGCGTTGATTCGTAACTTACCCTTCCCAGCACGCTCGGCAGAACTCGTGGCCACAGGACATGTCCACGGGGTCCTCAAAAACGGAGATGGAGCACAGGCAGATGCCACACTGCGCACAATTGGAACCATTGGGATGTTTGTTGGCATTTGCCAGTGTTGGGCATGTTACTTGAAAATATTCATGAGTTACCTTTTTTTTTTTTTTTAAATTCAGTTCGATACAATTACTTTGAGAGTGGATCACGGTTTAGTTCAGTGTTTATTTGGTTTTATTTTGTTTATTTTATTGTTGAAGAGCAACATGGAAAAAATAATGTTCGGAAATATTGTGTAATAAAGTGAAGTAATCTACAGCCACCAAACAAGAGTGTGGTCTTTTTTTCCTCCTGTAATACAAAAGGAAACACACTTAAAATAAACGCCAAAGTCTTACCGTGGCCAGGCCCTCATCGGCGGGCGTGAAGCAGCTGTCCGTGGGGGAGGTGAAGGTGAGCATGACGGGCGAGCGAGGCGTCCGGGGGGTGCGTGGCGAGGGCAAGGTGTCCCAGGCGTTGCACCCGCTGGGCGGCGGCGTGGGCATGGCCACGCCCGAGCGCTGGCAGCAGGTCTCGGCGTCCGACATCCACGCCTCCAGCAGCTTCTCCCTGTCCCAATCTGGAGACGGGAAACGATTGAGCGCAGTCGCAAAGGGTAAAAAAAAAAAAAAAAAGAGGGGAGGCGGAGCGTACCGTGCGCTCGCAGCAAGGCCTCAGCAGTGAAGAGGGGTGCTTGCAACATGTCGGCCGTCTCCACGATCAGCATGTCCTTCAGCCGGCGAAGGTCTTGCAGTTTCAGGCCCTCATAAGGCTGCATGAAAAGAGAAAGGAAAGAGTTGACGTAATACCAGAAAATGAAGGCAAATGTCTTGGTTACAAGATTTCTCCCCTTTCTCTTCCCGTCTTGTCGTCACCTAACCAACAAACGATTCGGTCAGAGTAGCCGAGATCCGATTGCTACGACTTTCATCCACCCGCTGACCTCTTTGTGCGGCAGGAGCTTGATTTCGCCACGCGCGTCCGCATCGGAGTGCGGTGCTGGCGGCCGTGACTCTGGCGACGAGGAGAAAACCATCTGCGACTCCAGGCTGAGGGCCAACTCGGTGTGGTGGTGGCGCTCAGCGTAGTCGCAAGGCGTCAGCTTGTCGTCGTCCTCGATGAACAGGTCCGCCTTGCTCCGGATGAGCAACTGCAAAACGTGGCCAAAATGAACGTCGGGCTGCTTTGTGCTTCGCTAATGAACAAGCGTCGCTGTGCAACATCACCTCCACGCAGCTCTTCATGCCCGACGCAGCGGCATAGTGCAGGCAGGTGCTGCGGCGGTTGTCGGTGGCGTTGACGTTGGCCTTCTCGTACTGGCCCCCCTCCAGTCGAGCCCCCGTCCAGCTTAGGATCATCTGGCAAAACGACACACTCAAAATTTGGTTCCGTACCCGTTTTGATTTTTATTTATGTTTGGCCATACCTGCAGACAGTCGGCCCGTCGCTGCTCGTCGCGCTGAGGCCGGGCGAGGCGCGGCGACAGCGCCCCCTCAGGCAACAGCAGGATGAGCGGACCCTGGCACAGCACGTGGAGGCACGTCTCATTGTGCACGTTCCGCTTGTTGGGGTTCCCCTCCTTGCTGAACAAGAAGGACCTGCGGAGAGGAAGAAGGAAATGGAAGGAGCCATGGAGATTGACGGCACGCAGTTTCGGCGACCACGGATGTTTCTGCTTTGCATCTCCGAGATAATTGACATGAGAGTTGACACACTCAGGGTGATATGATTTTCTAGAAAACGAAAATCCACGAGACGAAATATCTGCCACGCCTTCAAAAGACGTTGCCTTTTTCTTTTACCCCCAGAGAAAGCAGGAAAAGAAAAAAAAAGCCGTGTGACTATGTCTGACATCAATGTACGTCGTGGTAATCAACTTTTGCAGTTGAGTAAATATCTGAGGAGATACAAAAAGCTCGGTGGTGGTGGTGGCGCTCAGCGTAGTCGAGACTTCACAATAAAATAAACACACACAAAATATAATTTACTATTTTCTAATTCAAAAAAATATTTGGGAGAAAAATCTTAAAGGTTCTAGCTCACCTACAACCCCAATGAGGACAAAATGGATAAATCAAAAAAAATATGACTTTTAAATGTACTTTTTAATACAAACAACACGTGCCATGCCTCATTAAAAAATATTGTGACAAAAGCCTAACATTCATTTTCAACATTCCATTTTAAAAAGATGATTTTAAAATGTGCTGTGGCAATTCTTTTTGCATGTTTTAAGTTTTTTAAATATGTTTTTGTCCAGGAAATTGGAATTAAAAACGTGTCTTTTTTTTTTTAATGACAAGACCATTTGTAATTGCGGGGAAGGACTAATTAGATTTTTTTTTTTTTTTTTTTTGGTAAATCAAATAAAATGCTTTTATTCGGAAAAATTTCAAATACGGTTTCATTAAGTCAAAAAGTTATCTTTGAGATGGTCCGGTTGCACCTAAAGTAACATTCGGTGACGTGAGCGCGGCACTGAAACGTGCACGAAATGGACCTGCACCTTTCATGAACTGCTAATTCTCATTCACTCAAATATAAGCATCTTACAGAGCTGGCGATTACCCATCAGCCCACCATCACCCCCCCCAAAAGAGCCACAAAGCAAAAAGTGCCTTTCACCTGAGCAGCCGCGTCATGGCATGGCGGCACACGTAGTGCAGCGGCGTGTTGTGCTGGTATTGCTCGCCGTACGAGGCGTTGGGGTCCAGGCCATCCCTGAACTGCGGATTGCCCTCGTACAGCTGCCAGGCCAGCGCCTCGTCACCGCCCACCAGCGCCTTCCGGAACTTGGTGGCCGCGTTGCCCATGGCGGCGGTGGCGGCGGCCCCCCAACACGGGATGTGTGGCAAACTCCTTCCCTCCTTCCGCCTCCTCCTCCTCCCCTGCTCAGGAACAGCTCACAACTCACACCAACATGGCTTGGCGGTCCTGCCTTGCCCTGAGAAAGCGACAGACAGAGAAAGTCAGAGAGTGAGAGAGAGTGTGCGAGAGCGAGAGAGAGAGAGAGAGAGAGAGAGAGAGAGAAAGAGAGAGAGAGAGCGAGCGCAAAAGGGGCGTCGTCACTGGTTGGACGATCTGGAAAACGATGAGACGGATGCGAGAAGCCAGCGAAGGAAGGAGCGAGGTGAAAATAGAAGATGGAGGCGGCAGACAAAACACATCAATCTCTCAGCTGTGCATGTTATCCTACCGGAAAAACTGGGTGGGGTGGGGTGAGGTGGGGGGGGGGGGCAGAAAAAAAGAAAAGACAAGAGAAATAATTATAAAGAGGGGCATGTGAGAGGTGGGGGTGTGTGTGGAGTGTGGGGGGGAATTAATCACACGCGATCGATTCCTCTCCCGGCATTGATGAAAAGTACCATGTGCTCAATACCGCCAGTGGATTTGCATGTATTGCACTCTCTAGATGCACACAAATCGTGTGTGTGTCTGTGTGTGTGTGTGTGTGTGTGTGTGTGTGTGTGTGCGCGCACGTGCGGTTGAGTTGGGATTCTTCCAGACTAAATGGAGCAGATCATAAATTGACTGCCTGCAACAGGTGTTTCCAACACGTTTGTGCTCGAAAAATGTGTAGAGTTTTTTTCTAAAGGAGATAAAAATGGACGCAAAATATTTCAAAAATGTTGAGCAAGTTTAGTTTTTTTAATGTATTTTATAATTAAAAAATTAACACTTTTTAATTGTCAAAATTGAACAACATATTTTGTATGAAAAGACAAACTTTTAAACTTTTTTTTTTTTTGCATTAAATGTCTATTTTGGCATCGCCTGGCAAGTCCATTTGGCATCGCCTGGCAAGTCCATTTTTAAGATATTTGATCATTTTTTTCATGTAAATGTAATTTTTCAACAAAAAAACACCAATGTGGGACAAAGAGCTGTGTCACAGAGCTGCCAATTTGTGGTAACAGCCAGGCAAGGATTCGGAGATGGGGAGGGAGAAAAAAAAAACAAAACAAAACTCAGGCTTCTTGTCGCATGCATCGAGCATAATAATCATCATCTTGAAACATTGCCTTGCACTCCATTTCCTGGCGCCCTACCCACCTCTCTGCAACACTGTGTGTGTGCATGTGTGGAGGGTATCATTAGAGTGTTCGTCCTACGACCATCTGTCTGGCCTCTTACAAAGAGCCTCTATTTTAGGCCAGATTGAATAAAGCTGCGGCCTACATGTAGCCTCCTTTTCTTCTTGAGGCCACCCCCCCCCCCCTTTCCCCCCCGTCCTCTAAATCTCATCCAGCGCCAGACGGGACACATACGGAACTTTCCCAACATGCTTGGAAAGTGTTTTTTTGTGCGTGGAGGTACAGTGAAAAGGCCAGCCTGTCTGCTTTACTTCCAGTCCACTTCACTCGTCTGTGTGTGTGTGTGTGTGTGTGTGTGTGTGTGTGTGTGTGTGTGTGTGTGCGCGCGCGCGCGCGCGCGTGCGTGACACTAAACAAGGGCAGAAAGTCTGGACATGCTGGAAGCGGCATTAGAATTCCTGTGCGACGCTAATTGGATGGGCAGGCACGCCATTACCTGGCAAAGAATTGTTACACCTGACCCGCTAACCTTAATCTGGCTAGGTGCCGCCAGATTCCCACAGGTGGGGGAGGAGTTGTCTTCTGAAAAACGACATTTAAGTCAGGATGGGAATGACTCGCGGCGCAGGGTTTTTGACTGACAGCCAAATATTTGCTGAACAATGTTTCTTTCAGAACAACTGCACGTGTTACCAGATTCACTGCTGTGGGCCTTCATGTTCATCATTATAAGGGAGAGAAACACAAACACGTTTGAAAAATCTGTTCAATGGAGTGCCCAAAAAAAAAAAAAAAATGCCCCTCCCAAAAAACAACCCGCAAACAACTTAAATCAAGCAGCAAGTCGGTGTCACTCATTGCGCATTTCCCAGTTGTATATCTGTAAATAAATTATTTTGCTATCAAAATCACTTTCTCGGTCTTGATTTTGGATTCACAAAACCCCTGCAAAAAGCTTCTTTTATCTGCTTTTTGGTCAGAAACCAGTGTTTTGACATGTTTTACTGCTGCTTACACTTGCAGTACCTTACATTTTAATCAGCCATTAATCTCCGTCACTGATAAAAGCGATTCGGACCCTTCTCTCCACCATCTTAACCAGTTTAAGCACCATGTTTTGTCAAGGAGCCCCACCTGCCAGTGGAACATTCATTGGAATAAATCTTCCATTTTGCTGTTCTTCTTCATCAAGAGAGCCGATAGCTCCTCACAAAGTCACATTTGAATGACTCCTGTGGGTAATAGTTTACAATAGCTCATCTACTGTATGTCAACAATGCATATTGACGGGCAAAAAAAAATAAAAAATTAAGTGCACTTCCACTAGATGGCACAAGATAAAATGAAGCTGTATGTACCCGCTGCCATTCATACGACAGAATAGCGGCTTTGTGTTTAACTAAAAAACACGGCTCAGAATGTCCATTTGTGAATAAATTGAGATCAGGATCCACCATTAGTGGCATTCGTTTGTTGGTATGAGATCTCTTTTTAACTGTGTAAATGAAAATATGTCAAGAAAGGTTGGGAAACACTGATCTGAGCTTTTGGATGTGAAGTCACATATACGTCACAGTGCCGTTTGATTGGCATTCACTGACAACGTATTTTAATGATTGTTTTGGATGCTAAAAGGGAACTGTTAAAAGACTCGTGGTGATGCAGCACAGTCGCACAACCACAAAAACGCCTCTATTAATTCAATCAACGCCTCCCGAAAGGTGTCAATCAGCACTGAGTCTCGCTGTTACAAGCTCGGTTAATGAACACAAGGAATGTTGCAAACCGACCACATGACCACAAAAGCAATAAACAAATCACTTGGTTGCATCATAACGCTAAAGAATAACGGCTACCGACTCGTTTGCGTGGTGTGTTGTCCAAAAGTTCATTTAGCTGTAGCGTTAGCAACACCACCGTCGCAACATATGCTGAGAATTGGGTTAGTCCGGATGGTGGTGGTGGTGGTGGTGGTGGTGGTCAAGCGGGTCACACAAGTCCAACAGTGAACCGCCTCTCCCGGGGCGTTTGTCTCCACGCGGCCCCGCGCCTTTGTTCAACAAGCCAGGCGGCCGGCCGTGTGCGCTCCCGAGCCCGCGAGGTAACACGGAAAAGAGACGGGAGCTGCAACTTGCTAGTTAGCTTCCAGATGCTAAGGCGGTGCGCTCGCCTTTCGACGTGAAATCACAGCCGCCATCAACTCACGCTTGCCGCCGTTTTCACTTGCTCCGCCGGGGTAGTGGACACTCTCGCTGGGTCATAACGCGCCGTCATTCGCCGGAAGACATGATCCTCCGCTCTAACATCCTCTCACAGGCACAGGAAGCGAGCCGGCCGGCGGGGCCGGTCGGTGTTAGCGGGACAACGACGGTGAGGTGGCTGGCTGCCGGTAGAGGGGCGAGACTGGCAGTTGACGGGAGTGCGTTGTTGCGGCAGCTGCTGGCGGTGGTCCGCTTGGTTCACTGTTGTTGTGACTGACCACAGGGGGAAGAACGAGGGCGCATGCGCGGGAGCCGCCACCTGTTTGGTCAACTTTCTTCTTCTACGCTCAGTGCACCTCGATAGACGAGTTTTATTTCTTTACGTGGCCACGCTCGCAACTTGTACAATAGACCCCCGCTTACCGGCGGTTCAGCACCAGCGGATTCACATATTCATCGACCCCCCCCCCCACTTCTCCCCAAAATATGTTTTTAGATATTTTTACATTTTCTCGGGTGGGCGGTAGAGGGTGGAGCCAATCCTGTAAAATGCTTTTTGTAGGTTTATTTCCGTTTTCTTCCTTTGTTTTGTTCCACACAAAACCAAACATTTTTGTAATGTGTTTTTTTTAAGGAGAAAAATCCCACTTGATGGTATTGCTGCTTCTCTTCACAAGGGTGCACTGGAGCCTATCCCAGCGGCCTTCAGGCAGTAGCCGGGATACACCCTGAGCTGATTACCAACCAATTGCAGAACATACAGTCGTGATAATTAAATTAAAAATAAAGAAATAAAAAAATTGAGATTTTAATTCAACGGCCATTGTGCCGCTCCTTCTGTTACGAGGGCCGTGGCCACTGGGGGGCGTGGGGAGGGATATCATACATCTATTCAGGAAGACTGCCACATTTGACTCAGTAATTCTGAGTAATATTAGTCATTCTTTGCAGATGATAAAGCAGATATGCCTGTGAGTATTGTTGCATTGTCAGCTGCATTTAACTACACAATGTGTTAATCACAATGTGAAAACCTGTAACCATGTGTAATAAATAGCACAGCCACCTTATGTATGCATAAGATGCATATATGCAATTTATATGTATACTGTGTACAGTTTTCTGAAACATTTATTTATTTTGTGCATGCAACACTTTGTTTTTTTTCTTCTCTAACCCCCCCTCCCCACATTTTGCTGCTGTAGACTGCAAATTTCCCCAATGTGGGACAAATAAAGGTGAGCTTATCTTACCTTAATCTCTTATGTTTGGTCTGACTGTAAACTTTTAACAGATTCACTTGAGGCTCACCTCTCTCTCTTTATATACACACAGTCTGTAGATAGATAGATAGATAGATAGATAGATAGATAGATAGATAGATAGATAATTTATATAATTTAATTGAATTTCTACAGGTAAGGCAATTGAGAACAGATGCTCATTTGCAAGGCCGACCTGGCGACCTGGCAGGAGACGGCAGAATAAAATGACGCAAAATAAAATCAAATACAAATACAGAGACAACAAACCGTACAGTGTGATATGATTGGATGATACGTTGCATTACGTCAAAGCTCATGGTGAATAAAAGGTTCCCAAAACAGCTCCAAGAGATACTGCTTGGATAATCAATGGACGAAGGATCCAAAATTGAAATCATCCAAGAGTTTTGTGGATACCAGTTTAGCACGATAGGGGGCGGTAGAACACAGCTGCTTCCGTCTGCACAGTGGGAATGGGTTTCTTTAGGGAGTGTCTATGCAAATACATGCAGAGTACATATTGTACAGTCATGTAATAAAAAGCCACAGTTCAGATACTGTACATCGGAATATTGATTTGCAACAAAAACGCACTTGTAGAGCTACAAAATCTCGAGATAAAAGTTTTACACAAACAAGAATTTATTCATCCTTATTTACGGCTGTTTCGCATGTCAGCCAAGAATGCGCAAATACGTGCTGAGCGAAGGGTCATTGCTGGGCAGCTTGCGTTTCCCATATGGTGTTAATTGGCATACAATGCGGCCCGGCATCAGCCCCCGCGTGTTGCGCATACTGCACGCTTATGAAAGGGGACAAAGTGGAGCCCGGCAGCACAATGATGTCAAGATGACCCGAGCATGTTGAGTGCCACCTTATACTCAGGTGTTACATTACAGCGTGAGAAAGGCATGCTGGGAAACCTCGCACAGGATCGGAACGCAGATAAGGAAGTTCCACGGACGTAAAAATGAGACACAGTGGTGCTTGGAGATAAGATATGACTGAAAAATGTTGTCATTGTGCATCGTGTTTTTTTTCTTCGCTTTGATTTGTAAGCAAAAATTTGAGATAAGAGTGCAGTATAGGCAGTGAAGTCAACTCACTTGACAACAAGCAGTAAGTTGGCAGAGAGTGAACAATTCGTAAACAAAAAAGGCCTCTTGGCTTAATGCTAACAAACAATGCAAAATTCCATACTTGGGCTAATGAAGCATTGGTGTTGTGGTGTTAGAACTAGAACCTATTTGGATTTTTTTAGGCTGGGGCAGATTCCAGTATTTGGCAGAATAAAATTCAGATTAACTCATTTTGGTGGGGTCAATAAAAAAAGAACAAAAAAAATTTTTGGGGTCCTTTTACGGCTACAGCAATAAACATAAGAATTATAAGCAGATTTGACAGAGTTACAATACTTTGTTCTTTCGGATTTTTTTAACTTTACAACAAAGAGACCCCCCCACCCCATTTTTGGGAGGGTGACGGGTGTTTAAAAGTCATTATCGTTCTCTTATGTAATAATGTGTCAATGTGTGTTAACAGGCCAAGGCATGCACACCAGAATGGGCAGCGCAATGTCCAGCAAATTGAAGCAAAAAAAGTGGCAAAGGGTTTACTTTCTTGAGCGTCGATTCAATTATGTCATGACTGTCAGTTTTTATGAACTACTTTTTCTTATTAAAGAATAATTTACAAACAGTATTGTTGGTTGCGTTTGGGAGGCTGGGTGGATGAAAGGCATTTCCATTTATTTCAGTGGGGAACATTGATTTGACTTGTAAGTCAAGGTGACACTGTGAATAGACGCCTGTCCTAGCTACATTTGAGCAGTACAAATAAATAACTGAATAAAAAAATGCCCTCCTCAGCCACTTTTCAAGTTTGCCTGCGTTTGGAGGCGTGCGTGGCCAGGATTTGGACTTCCAGCCCGTACTTGCACACATACTGGTTGAGCAGGTGACTCAGCCGATGCAACATGGCAGGAGGTGGTGGTGAGGAGTGGGGGGGGGGATCTCGGGAGGGTGTGGCGAGATGCCTCCAGCGCATTCCTGCTAGCGGCCGCGCCCTCTGCCCCGCCGTTTGTGTATGTACCTGTTTGCCGTCAGGAGCGTCTTTGTCGGCCTCCTTTGTCACTCCCACTTGAAGTTTTCATGCAACCATGCTGAAGGCAGAGTCATCACAGGGGGGATTCGCACATTTGCATGAGTAACAGCGCAAACAGATAGGAGGAGAGTTTCAAAACATAGCGAGTGAACACAGATTCAATACAAGCGCCGCACCCTTGGGAAATAGTGGCCTCTGTGTGTGTGTGTGTGTGTGTGTGTGTGTGTGTGTGTGTGTGTGTGTGTGTTTCTGTCGGAGTGCGCATGGAACAAGGTGTGTTCAGGATGAAGGCCATATAAAAAGAGCTCGGAACGAGCTTACCTGGTTGCGCACTCATGCTTTGGCTGGCTTTGTTCACTTAATCAGTCCTGCATCCGGACAGAAAGACAACGGGAGGAAACATGTTAAAAATGAGTTTTTCCAGATCATGTCATCAATATATTATATAACGATAGAATTGGAAAACAAAAATTAATGAAAATATTTTGGAGAATTGTGCCCTTTATTTCTAATATAAGTCATTTGGCAGAAGAATCGTTTATGAAATGTTTAAATTATTCTTCTGGAAAATTACAACAATTCAATCAAATATATTTGGGAGAAAAAATATTCGGACGAAAAATATATTAGTGTTTAGCAAATTTTTTTTCTCTAAATGAAATTTATATATTTAGTTCAAGTTGACATCCTGAAGCCTAAATGAACATTAATTTGATTATACAACTCATTCCTATGAAGAAACATTCAAACTCAGAAAACGTGCTCAGCTCGGCCAGAAAATGCGTTTAAAACAATAAAAGCTGAAATTGAGTGTCACACCTAAACAAAACGACTTATGAGGGAGGATAAAACTAAAGCAGGCCTGCAGTGAGTAAATAAAACAGTGTTAAAAGAACCCAACGTGTGATTTGGGTCGTAAAGTGAGTCACTGTTCTGTTGTCCTGTGATGCATTTATCACTCACCTATTAACAAGTAATAACAATGCAGTCACTCTGCAGCTAAGGAACCGAGCATTTGTGGACTGACACATATAAAACAGCCCTCAAGGTCTATTTGTGACCAGCAAACACATGCAGGCAACTCACAATCAAAGATCACATTATGGTGATGAATTGGCAGTTCTTTACCACTGTATGCATAATCATGAACATATACTGTAGCTACATTTTTTTTTAAAGGGAATCACCCGAAAAAGTATCTTTAGCCTGAACAAATGAACCAGAATCCTATTTTTTTTCCTGGAGGGAAGTCAAAATTCAACATCTAAAAAACTTTTTTATTACGAACCACCCTCCCCCCCCCTCTAAATTCAGTAATTAAGATATTTTAAACACAGCAAATAATGACGTTTTCACTTTCAAGAGTGAACATTTATTTTTAAAAGAAGGAAAAAAAAACTGCACCGCACACAAGCCCCAGTCGGGGCGGAGCTTCCAGCGGGAGCCTCCGAGTGTCTGAGCCCGGCCAGCGACGTCTCTGGGCGGAGCCTCACGGCCGGTGAGCGGGGGAGCGCGGAGCCTCTCTCGGGGCGTTCAGGTCGTTCCTTCCTCATTCGCCGTAGTGGCGGCGGCCCCGAGGGTGCACTTGGACGGACACACGCACAAAACTCGAACCGGGCTGGGAGCCTCGCTTCGAGGGATTATTTCATAAGTCTTTGCTTTTTGTTTACAAGTTCAATTGCGGACAAATAGACAAGACGCCGTGCAAGTTTGGAGGTACAGTAAATGGAAGGCGAAACGAAGTTGGACAAAAGATCAAGTCGGTACAGTGGCTCTATTCAATTTACTTCCTGACTTGACTTTTTTACTGTTGTGTTCATGCTCCACATTCCATTCGATTCTCTCCCCTAATCTGTCGTTTTATTACACATTAAACTGCTTAGGGTGTTCTCTTCTATTCCATTTCATGTGTCCTATCCCGTTTTTCCTGCACTTCTGCTTCGGCATTGCATTTTTCCCCCACATATTTCTCTCTCTATTCTATTTCACCGCGCGTATGTGTGAATGCAGTTCCAGTTGAAAACAACAACCTAAAATGTCTTTGATTTGCAGTCCAGGCTGGAGGATGACATCCTCCAGGTAGATACTGCACATAGATACAGTATATCCTAAAAACTAATTCGAAAGAGACGGCATAGTTGAAAAAGGTGCGCCCCACAAAGCCGATCGGTCTCCAGTTTCGAGACGTTCTCCGCCCGTGGACTTTGGTACCTCTACTGTCATTATTGCTCACATCGAATTTAGTTTGCAGCTATTAAAAAAAAAAAAAAAAGCGTGAATTCAAATCCGGTTGCCGCGTTTTCCCCGTGAGTCACTCACTTCGGAAAACAGTGGTCCACTGTTTGTAATTACAAGTGGGGGAAAGTCGGTATTGTGGTAAGAATTTCTTGCGGTGCGTCTTTTTATAGATGTGGTCTTTGTTGGGGTAGCCACGGGCTGAAGTGGTTTCATTCCGTTCTGGGAGATCGTGGAAAAGTTCCATTCATGCTCTGTGTTACATAGTAGAGCCTTCGAAAGCTGGCGGACAGGCATAAAATGTTGCGGTACCGCCAAGAAGCCACAGGGGGCAGCATAAGGAATTTGACACAAATCATTTTCAGTGAAACCAACAACGAAGAAAAATGTGGCAAGGAAAAATTCCTACGCATCTCAAGTTAAAAATTCCAGCAACTACGAGGAACATACTGTAATTGTGTGAAACAAATATGAACACTCTGTAAATAAAATTGTAAGGTTATGAGAATAAAGTTGTAATATAAAAAGTACATCTATCTATCTGTGCTATACTTGGCTGCATGCAGCAGTGTAGCTAAAATGAACTCAATTGCAACTCAAATTGTGGTTGGTTGAAATAAAAAAAATATATATTTTTTTTAAATCGACCAAGTGCCAGCTTGTAACTCAAAAAAATTGTTGAGAAAGTTGAAAATGAAAAAGTTGGGGCAGTCGTAGTTCAAGTCACCACTGTAATTTTGTACAGAGAGTTCAAGCTTCTCTGGTGGGGTTTTGTGTCTGTAAACAACACAAATCCCTGGACCGGTCATTTCCACACACGTAACTCAACCTTGAGTCCTCCCTTTTGTGCGCCACTCAACAGTTCCGCCGGGGTGTGACGATACGCAGAGAGACACGGCGTGCGTTGTTTGCGTTCATCTGTCCGAACACGTTAACAGCAGCCGCTGCTGAAAAGCGGTGACAGCACAACACGTGAACTGGCTCGTCCCTCCCAACCTGTTCTCAGGTATTCCTCGCTGAGCCGAATTATCTCACTCAATGAACGCCAAGTATGCTTGATGGATGCGAGTGGGCGAGGTGGGATAAGAGACGACAGATAAATTTGCGATATGGGAATATGGCTGCCGGGTTACTAATTCACAGGTGGAGATGGAAATTCAATTTTTGCTGTGGGCCACCATTTTGTCTTGAAATGCATTTCATGTCAGTGTCAACGGAGGAATGCCAAGAATGAGCTCACCTCAACATCGGGCTTGGAAACCTGGCCGAGCTTGAAGGCCTGACACTGATAACAAAAACTGAAGTGTTAAATGGCCGCGACAGTTTGGAGCCTTGACATGAAAGCATTTGAAAACAGGGATCAATATGGGGGCTTTTTTTTTTTTTTTTTTAACCCAACGAAAAGTGAAAAACGCTGAAAACGAGACACATGCGATTATGCCAAGGTAAATCTGAAACAGATACAAATTTCAACCGAGGTTCGTCAATAAACGATGTAGGTCAAGTGACATTGTCAACGCTTGGCCGGGCATGAATTTTTCAGTCTTTATAAAAATGATATTTCCTCCGTCAAATTTGTGTAGCGGTGAAAACAAAAAGACATGCGCACAGCAAGTATCAAACCAAAGAGCTGGGTGACGCTTCATGTCCACTGTATTCACCTATGTCGATAAAGGGTAGACAAAAGGTGGTTTCGGATTAAGATGTTAATGAGGATGCGCATCTCATTTCTTTACTGTCAATTTGACACCTACTGACACAAACTACATGAGTATTGCGGTATTTTATTTTATTTTTTTTAGACAATGGGGAGGATAGTGAAAATGAAGAACACGCGTGATGGAATGGTGGAATCGTTGTCCTTCCCCCTCAATCCAAATTTTACCCTAATCCTAATCCGAACATCTACCCTAATGTTTACTCTAAACTACAGGACTGTTTTGACAACACTATGGACTGAAGATCAACCTTAATTGTTGTTGGCATGTAAACGTGCCAAACAACTTTTATATGAGGCTGCAGTGTCCCTAGTCTTGAGTTATATTCACAGCGTACGATCCCCGGCGCTGCCTCACCTTCGACAGTTTGATATTGCTGTCGAACGCAACCGGGCTATGTTTTGACTATCCCAACGACGAAGACAGGTGGGAGGGTTGGCTTGGAGGGAACCCGCCCAGTAGCGCTTCTTCTTTCCGCAGTAGAGCTTGACTCGGAATCTTCCGGGCTCCGTTCCCTGTTATTATTTCTTAACACGTGTGAATTTCATCACATAATTCAAATGTGATGATTCAGCAGAACAACTCAAGCCCGAGGCAGCTCGCTCTATTCAACAATCAAATGTTGGAGGTTATGAAATGATTCCGTGCGAAGTAGCATGTATGCCCAACATACTTCCACAGGCCGCTGTGAAACTTTGGAAGAGCGGGGCAGACCACAAATGCTCAGTTCCAAAAGTTAGGAACGAGAGGAAGAAAACAGGAAGTCGGCCATTTTGCTCCCAGATGACTCGCAGGGCTCACAAAAAATGAGCTACCTGGTGACTCATGAGGTCTACTATTAAACTTAGCTCTCTCCCTGGCCTCCCTTAGGTCCGCCTTGCTATCACAGCAACATTGTGGAAAGGTCTTTTGCTCTTTAAGTTTGAACAAAAACACTCGGCCTCCTAAATAGCAAGGATCATTTGTGCACACACTAACAATCAGCCTCCCGACATACTATGACAGACTGGACGTTTCCATGGAGACGTATCCACACAGTCAAAAAGCGTGAGCCGCAACAAGTTGCTAAACAGGATAGTGTTTTTTTTTTTTTTAATGGTCTCGGTTCGGACTTAAAACAAAGACAAAACTGACTTTGCGGCATCCTCATGAGTTGGAATTCTCCGAAACGCGAGACAGAGCTGCGAGTTTAAAGTCTCCAAATGCTGAATGAGCTCTCTCGAGGAGCTCGTAAAGTCACAGTGCCGCTGCCACCAGATGAGACATCTCGTACGCAGCTGTTAGGGCCAAATGAAATGAGAAAAAAAACCTGTGCTGAATTTGGAATACAATCTCAGACCATGACCAATTCCCCAAGTAGGAGTTTGGCAAAGTTTGACTCCTGGAATTCGCTATAAATCGGCTGCTTTAAATCAAAAATGGCCAACTTCCTTTTCCTTTTCAGGAAGGGTCCTTAAGATTCTTTTATGTGGCTTAACTCTGACAGGCATGTTGGACTAATTTCATGTTGATTGGGGAAACTGGTGACAAGGCGCTATTGGGTGAGTTTTGAGGAAAGGGCTTCCTGTTTCATCCCCCACATAGAAATTAATTTTCATGAAGATACACATCATCTGAAAAAAAATGTGTTTCCAGGAGGCTGTAATAACTTGAGTGAAGGTTCATTATTATTCAGACATTTATGAGTTAATGGGTAGGTGACTTGTTTTGATATGGAGGGGTCTTGCTTGACAAAGTGAGGTTTAATGTCTGTTGCGCCAAATTCAAATATTTTAATTTACAAGTGGCCAAATTTAAGTCTTTATCCAGTTACAAGCCCTCACTTGGTGTTTTTTTTTTTGCTTAAAGGCACACATCCAACACACGAGTATGTGTAGAATCCAGCTTGTATCTGAACGGCTTGTCCTCATGGGCATGCTGGAACCTATCCCCGGCCGTCTACGGCCAGTAGTAACGACATTTTACAAAATGAGTTTATTTCTTTACGTACTCTTTGATGAGGTTTTCTGATTTCTTTAAGCAAGTCGGGGCCATTTTTCTTGTTTAAAATGGAAGGGAAAAAAAATGCTAGTTTTTAGGCAGCTGTGGAACAGATGAAATTAAAATTAAATTTCAATTAGTTGCGACGGGGGAAAAAAAAGATCTGTAAATGGAGTGACGAGTTTGCTTCGTAAAGCTGAATTCAACTGTTGAGGGCTCGATGAAATGACAAGGACCTGCTAAAAACCGGAGTTTTGTTTTGGCCTAAACAAATGATTTGTTTCTATTTTTTTGCAGCCCGATGACTGTGTCTATTTAGCAAGGTATTCATCATGCTGGACTTGGTGTGTGAGTGGCTTCCAGCCATGACGGGTTGACTCAGCAGGGATCCTAGTGAGAGAACCTGTCCATACACCTCTGCATACCTTTCCCACTGCAAACCTTTCCACTTTTTGCTCACCACTTCCCACTCTGTGGTTTTCAACATACTCAAAATTAACGTGGTACCTTTTCCTCCTGCTTTTGTGTCATAGAGTTTTCGCATTGCCCATCAACGACCTTGA